ACTCTTGGTGTATTCCCTGTACTTCTAGCAAATAGATAATTCAGAGGCTCGATTAGACACAGATTTGAACTGTTCGAAAAAAACTGTAGTTATTGTGTGGCTGTAGGAAGCACACATTCCCAGATGCATACTTCTTATATCTACATTGCCCTGTGGGGCTGTCAAATGTTGACATTCTGGTACAATTTTTTTTTCAGATATTAGTTGGATTCCTTTCATAAAAATATACTTTTTGCCATCTTGTATTTGTTATTCTGAGGTAAAGTTTATACAGAAAAGGCAGATGCTACAATCTGAATGTTTATGTCTCAAATCCATATATTGAAATGCTAACCCCTAAGGTGATATTATTGGAGATGGGGATTTGGGGTTGATTAGGTCATGAGGGTGGAGTCCCTTTTGAAGGAGATCAATGCTGCTGTAACAGAAGCTGAGCAGACACAAAGACAAAGGGTTGTTCTGGAAATCAGGAGGTAGACCTCACAGGAACGCAACCATGTTAGTTAACACCCAACCTCCTAAATTGTAAGATAAAAATCTGCTATTTATAAGCTACTTAACTTCTGGTATTTTGTTACAACAGCTTGAACAGATCAAGACAGAAGGATAAAAGCAGCAGTTCAACTTGACTTAGCCGCACTCATGTTACCATTCTTTTGTCCTCTGGATGACCCTGGCAGTCATCCCAAGCCCTATGGGATAAACAAGGTTGTCAAGATCGTCTGCCAAGTGTTTCTTGACAGGAACTGATGCTAGGAATGTTAACTGATGCCTCAAATGTTAATATTTCTTGAGAAAATCCAGTTCTAGTCACATCGGGCACAGGCCATTTTGTCTAGCTTAACATATAAACCTTTTACCCCTGCTTTGAGGTAGGGCTCCTTTTATCTTATTGCTGCCCAAGACACACTTCTGTTTAGATACAAAATTTTGTGCCTGGCACAATGGCCCAATTAGATAATCCTCCCCTTGTAAGCGTCAGGATCCTAGATGAATGCTGATTCGTGTCCTGGCTGCTCCACTTCCCATCCATCTCCCTGCTTGTAGCCTGGGAAAGCAATCAAGGGTGGCCCATAGTCTTGGGATCCTGACCTGCGTGGGAAACCTGGAGGAGGCTCCTGGCTCCTGGCTTTATATCAGCTTAGCTTCAGCCATTGTGGCCATTTGGGGAGGGACACAGCAGATGGAATGTCTTTTTCTTTGTCTCTCCTTCTCTCTGTAAATCTGATTTACCTTTCCAATAAAAATAAGTCTTCAAATAAGTCAATATTTGAAAAAAAAAACTTTAAAAAATAAAGTGGGTGCAGGTTCTGAATAGATATTTCTCCAAAGAAAATGTGCAAAAGAACAATAATCACATGAAAAATTACTCAACATCATTAGTCATTAGAGAAATGCAAATGAAAACTACATTGAAATACTGCTTCACACTATGATTATTATTAAAAAGGATATGGAATGATTCCGCTAAATGTAATAATAATATTTAATATATGTAATATAATGTATATGACATAATTTCATATAATGTGATACAGATGCTTCAAAAGATAGTGTGGTAGTTCCTCAAAAAGGAACTTGGGGTTGGCACTGTGGCACAGCCACTAAGGCTACCACCTACAGTGCTGTAATCCCATCTGAGCACAGGCCTGTCTCTGTTGTTCCACTTCTGCTCCTGCTCCCAGCTAATGCACCTGGGAAGGCAATGGAAGACCGGCTAAATGTTTCCACTACTGCATTCATTTGGAAGTTACGAAAGAATTTCTTGGTTCCTGACTTCAGCCTGGTCCAGCTCTGGCCACACCCTTGTCATGCCCTGGTCCAGCTGTGGTCATGGCAGCCCTTTGGGGAATGAACCAGCAGATGAAAGGCCATTTTGTGTCTCTTACCCTTGCTCTGTAACTCTGCCTTTCAAATAAATACACCTTTTCTTTAAAAAAAAAAAGGGCAAAACTTATAATTCACATATGATCCAACAATCCCACTCCCAGACACCTACAAAAGATAAACGAAAATAGGTCCATGCAAAAGCTTGCATCCAAATAGTTACAGAAACATTATTCATAATAGTCAAAAGCTAGGAAAACCCAGACATCAATGAAAGAATAAATAAAACAGAGTCAATCCATGTGTTAGAATATGAAAAGGACACAAAACGCTGATCTGTGCTGGCAACATGGATGAACTCTGAAACAATTAAGCTGGACACAAAGGCTCACGCAATGTACCACTCCCTTCGTAATGAAGTGCCCAGCGTGAGCAGACCTATAGCCACAAACTCCATCAGCCGTTGTCCAGTGCAGGGGGTGACAGCTAACAGTTATGGGATTTCTTTCTGGGGTAATGAAAATGTTCTAAACTGGGTTGTGCAGAAGGCTGAAAAACTCTGTAAATACCCTGAAAGCCACGGAATTATGTGCTCTAAATGGGTAAACCATATGGCATGTGAATTGTCTCTCAATAAAGCTGTTTTTTAAAAAGTAAAAAAGTTAAAAAGTTGTGCCATATTTATATTGTTAGAACGCATTGCCATCCTATGTAACACTGTTAGATTCTTACACGCGCATTATTGATGGTTACAGGTAATTACACATTGAACATCCACAACCTGTGTTGACATCAATGTTCATTCTCTAGTTAGTGTGGTTTTCTAGAAGCTCTTTTTCTCACAGATTTTTTTTTCAGCAAAAACTGATAAAAATAATATTCTCCAGAGTTCATATGTTGGTAACAATGTCCCTTATATTTGAAAATAATTTTTGTTGCATATACAAACCTTGTTTCACACTTTCTTTGATTGTCTTAAATATACGACTCCTTCCCTTTTTTTGTTGGCATAAAGCATTGCCACAAATGTTGATGACAGCCAATTTCCCTTTAAAATTCACATGCTCTTTTTCCTTTTCCTTGAAACCCAGTAACTTTGAGACTATGATATGGTACTGCTTGTTCTGAACCACTTGTCATAGCTATGTGGTATGCTCTGTTATATACAGATTCAAATCACTTTTGTAAAAAAAGATTTATTTTATTTTTATTGGAAAGGCGGATGGATATACAGAGAGGAGAGACAGAGAGGAAGGTCTTCCGTCCGATGATTCACTCCCCAGGCGGCCGCAACCGATAGAGCTGAGCCAATCCGAAGCCAGGAGCCTCTTCCGGGTCTCCCACGCGGGTGCAGGGTCCCAAAGCCTTGGGCCGTCCTCAACTGCTTTCCCGGGCCACAGGCAGGGAGCTGGAAGGGAAGCGGGGCTGCCGGGATTAGAACCGGCGCCCATATGGGATCCCGGGGCGTGCGAGGTGTGCCGGGCCCCTCTTTTATTATTGTAAAAATCCTCTCTTCTTTTCCACATTCTAGAAATTTTCTTTCTGCTAGTCTGTTGCATTTACTCGCTCTGATTTTCTTCCTTACTTTATTCATTTGTGAAATGATTTTTCTTCCCTTCTGATTGTCATTCCTTCTTGAGTTCTGCCACCTAATTTCAGAGTCATCCTAATTCCAGCTTGTTTTCTTTTGTTTGGTTTTAGATTTAATTGTTCTTATTGGAAAGGCACACCAGATTTACAGAAAGAAGGAGAGATAAAGAGTCCAAGATCTTCTATGTGCTGGTTCACTCCCCAAGCGGCAGCAACACCAGAGCTGAGCCAATCCAAAGCCAGGAGCCAGGAGCCTCTTTTGGGTCTCCCATGTGGGTGCAGGGTCCCAAGGCTTTGGGCTGTCCTTGACTGCTTTCCCAGGCCAAAAGCAGGGAGCTGGATTGAAAGTGGATCAGCCAGGACAGGAACTGGCATCCATACAGGATCCTAGCACTTGCAAGGGGATGATTTGGCCATTGAGCCATTGTGCCGGGCCTTATGTTGCTCTTGTTTAACATCTTTCAGCTCATCTTAAAATACTAGGTGCGTATTTTCTTGGCACATTCTTATTTTAGTTTCTGTGGCAGGGGTGGAGTGTAAAATCTGTTCCTTACCATCTATCATTCTTAGAATAATTTCATATGGCGTTTGACCTTGATATAGTTCAATCTTTATTTTTGTGTCAAATTAGCCTTCCTGGACTTTACAAAAGAAAGGCAGTTCATGGAGGCTTCTCTGATTTGACAGAGCTCCCTCTTCTGTTGATTTTGTGAAGTGTTCAAGAGTAAGGTGAGCTTGCTTTCTGGGATTTTTCTGGTTCCATTCCTCTCCCTAATGTAGATCCAGCCTTTCTATGTCTACATAATACTGGGGAAACATTTGCATTTTAAAAGTTAATCATTTCTTATCCAAAATTCAAAGTTAATGAACACCCTGTATTTTTGTTTGCTGAATCTGGAATTCTCATTGCATTTATTTCCCATTGTACCTATTTGCAATGTAGACGTTCTGTTGTTTTTGTGTGGAGGATAACGGGGATTTAAAAGCTTTGCAGCGATAGCGTAGTGGTTAAAGTCCTTGCCTTGCACATGCCAGGATCTCATTTGGTTGCCGGTTCTAATTCTGGCAGCTCCACTTCCAATCCAGCTCCCTGCTTGTGGCCTGGAAAAGCGGTCGAAGACGGCCCAGGTCCTTGGGACCCTGCACCCGTGTGGAAGACCCTGAGGAGTTCCTGGCTCCTGGCTTCGGATTGACTCAGCTCTGGCCATTTTGCTCATTTGGGGAGTGAACCATCAGACGGAAGATCTTCCTCCCTATCTCTCCTCCTCTCTGTATATCTGCCTTTCCAATAAAAATAAATAAATCTTAAAAAAAAAAAAAGCTCTGCGACAGCTGCCATTGTGCCTTCATAGTTGATCATGTGACTTTCAAATGTGGTCTTTCTTTTCCTTGTCCTCTTGCTGTACTCTTCCTTTCCCTCACATTTGTACCTACCTGTGTTTCCTCAGATAACCATGAAGATTCTAAACATAGTATTTTTCTCTCATTTTAATATATTGCTATAATCATACATACATAAGCATTATGTATGTGATTTTCTCTTAGTTTTGAGATTTTTTATTTCTATTTATTTTGAGAATGAAGAGAGAAAGAGACATCAACTTATTTTGCGTATCATCCTTGCGCAGGGGCCATGGTAATCTTCTCTGTGTCGTTCCAATTTTAGTATATGTGCTGCCAAGCGAGCACAACATGAACTTATTTTGAAAATGGCGAGAAAGAGAGAGAGACTGGGAGGGGGGAGATTGAGAGCTATTATCTGTTGATTCATCCTCCAAATGCCTACCCAGTCAGGACTGGGCCGAGCAGGGATCCGGGACTTGAGCCATCATTGCTGCCTTCCAGGGTACACATTAGCAGGAAGCTAGAATCCAAAACAGAGCCAACACGCAAACCCAGCTACTCCAACACATTTTGCTGTAGGCCAAACTCCGAACCCTGTTAGTTTTTGAAGGTAAAACCAAGATAACGCATATATCCTTTCTGTATCTTGATTTTATGTCAACAGCATCCTGGGGAAACTCCTTCAAACCATCGTATTCTTTTCTACATCGAGAGTAATGAGACTATAGCTAGCTCTCACTGAGACTCGCATGCACACTCAGCTTGAAGATATTCAGAGATGTGCACAGTTCATACTTAATTTAACCAAGTCCTTAGTGTTGCCTTCAACTTTGTTTTCAGATTAAAAATATTATATTATTGGCCAACTTAGAACTTAAGGCTTTAGTTTCTATGGATTGACTACATGATGAGAAAGGTTCTGCTTAACGTTTTGGATTATGATGTTTCTCTTAAGATCAGTGCAAGTGGTTTTTGGTTAGAGCTGGAATAGGTTCTGTTGCCTAGTAACTGCACCACATGGCTGGAGGTAGAACCGCTGTCTCTGACATGGTAGAGGTTCTTGAAGAAGAGTGGTTTCAGAGTTTTTGCTGCTACAAAAGCACATGTAGTAAACACTCTTCCATGTTTCTATGGGAGAAACTCATAGGTAAAAAAAAAAAAACTATATTTATTGGGCAACACCTGTTCTTGATTATTTCATTGAGATTGGGTATTTCACCATCCACTCTTTTAGGCCTGTTTTCCCATAGAAGAGAAGATATAAAACTAAGAAAACAAAAGTCTAGCCAAGCAGAGTCACCCAAACAGGACTTACATGACAGAAGTGAAAAATAGCTATGTTTGTCATGTGGCAGAATCATCTGAGTCTTTCTGGGTGAAATGTGGTGGAGTTCCTTCCCACTGCCTTGTCCCTAGACTCACCTATGTCTGCAATATATACTGGTGGCAATGGAGTTTCCACCGTGACCCTCCAGGGGGAGACTGGGAATTTCTCCTGGCTGCATGATGACATACAATTGCCTGTAATTTCTAAGACCAGATTCTATAATAAATCTTTTTCATTAAAATATGATAGGATAGAGTCTGTTGGCTAAAACAAATCACCATGCCCAATAGTAGCTGTGATGGTAGGCAACAGCAAAGGGATTGAGTATCTGCCTTGGCTTAGCTGAAAGCTGCGACAATCTGTTTAACATCAAAGGATAGGTGGCTGACAAAGCAGGTACACAACAATAAATGATCACTTCAGCTGGCATCTGTGGTGACCTGGAGTGAAGTGTGCAATGAAGACAATGCCTTGGCGACCAAAGAAACTACGGGGAGAGACCAGTAGATAGCATAAGGAAGGTTATACAGATGGTAAATCTGACTGGCTAGCCCTTTATCTTTTACTTCTTCAACATTTTTTTGAAAGGAGGATTTATGGAGAGATGTCTATCTGATAGTTCACTCCCTAAATGGCCATTATAACCACAGCTGTACTGAGCTGAAGCCGGGAACCAGGAACTTCCTCTGAATCGCCTACGTGAGTGCAGGGGCTCAAGGCTTTGTGCCATCCTCTGCTACTTCCCAGGCCATCGCAAGGAGTTGGAATGGAAGTGGAGCAGCTGACACACGAACTGGTGCCCATATGGAGTGTTGATGCCACGTGCACAGGATTAGCTTACTATGCCACCATGCTGGCCCCCTGCCTGAGTTTTTCTAATTGTGCACAAACAAATAAAACGGAAGTCTTGGAGTTGTCAATGGTTTGCCTGAAGGCATGGTTGGAGAATCATGGAATTCCTATGACTACCTTAAAATAATCTTTGTGTAGTCTCACATGGCTGAGATTGACTGGGTTGCTGAATTAGTATAGGTTAAACTGATCTCTGTTAAATTACTTGTGAAGGTTTCAAGAAAATTCTTTTCATCGTGGCATGGAAAATTATACAAAGAAATGGAGATTGGGAAATGAATGAGGGATTCAGAGTCTGAAATGCCTGCCTTTGTTTCAATGGAGACTGTCATATCCTACACTGGCAGAGATCATAGAGTGGCACTTAACCAATGAAGAAAACGGTTCTCAGGAACTGGCCTTGGACTCAAATTTATATAACCAGCTTCTGTGGTTCTGAGACCTTCTGACTGGGACTGAGCCACGCTAAACACGGTCTATAGTCCATAGATGGTCTTTACAATCTCATCAACCAATTTCCCTAAGAAATCTCTTCCCTTTTCCTTTTCTTCCTTCCTCCCTTCTTTCCTTCCCCTCTCCCTCCCTCATCCTCCCTTCCTCCCTTTGCTCCTTCTTCTATCTATACCTACCAAACACCTGAGTTACTTCTCTGGAAAATCCTAACCAAAACATTGGCTAGGAAAGAATCAAGGAATGGGCTTACACACAGAGAAATTTCTGCCTCATTATCCAAAAACAGCTGCACTTCTAGAGAGCTCAAACAGGCTACTCAGACTCAGTTACTGAGCCAGCTGGGAAACAAAGCAAGCAAGTCAGAGTAAGGAGCAGGGGGGTAACTAGTAACTACTTATTCTCCTACAGTTAGAATCCATAGGTCTAGGAACTAAAGGGGAAGTGTCAGTGCTACTTTTAAATATTGCATCTTATAGCCCAGTTGCAAAATGCTTGCTTTGTGTTCCATTTTGGCTCTGTTGATTTAGAGATCTCTCTACCCAAAGAATTAACATTTTCTCCATTGGAAGAAACAAAGGTGCCATTGGACTGGAAGATGAAACTGTCACCTGATCACTTTGTACTCCTCACATGTCTGGATTAATGGGCCCCAAAGGGAGTTACTATTTGGTTAGGGTAATTGATCCTGATTATTCAAAGGAAATAGGAATACTGCTACAAAACTGAGCGAGGAAAGAATATATCTGGAACACAGTGGTCCTTTGGGACACTTCCTAAGAATGACATAACCAGTAATAAAGCTTAATGGAAGACTACAAGAACCCTTGACAGACAGAAACCCAACGAAATGGAGGTTGGGATTACTCCATGGAAGAAAAAGTCCAGCTGGCTGAGATGTAGGCTGACAAGCAGGGATTGTGAATACAGTATGGAACTAATGTTGTGTAACTTGTGCTAAAGCATGGAAATGAAAACTTTTGGATCCATCTTAGTTTTTCACATTACACATATGTGTATGAAATTATATATTGAATATCCATTTTGATACATGTATTTAATTTTGCTTGTACCTTTATCCCATTGTTAAAATTTTTTGTTAAGAAGTATTTACTTGAGAGGTGGGGGCGGAGGAGGGGAGAGTTTACATTCATTTGCTTATTAAATAAGCCCTGGGCAGGGCTGATATCAGCAGCCAAAAACTCAATCCCAGTCTCCCACATAGGCGGCAGGGATTTGTACTTCTTCTACCATTGCTATCTCTCAGGGTATGCATTTGCAAGAGCCTGGAGTTAAGAATTGGGGATTGAACTCAGAGACTCTGAGATGGGACCTAGGCATCTTAATGTACAAATTAACCACTCGGCCAGTTGCTCACCTCTCTTCTATTATTTTTATTTATGGAAAATGCTTTGGTTATTTGATACTCTGTAACAAGCTACCTCAAAATTGAATGTCTTGAAACAGTAATTTATTATTAAGTTTCAGAATTCTGTGAATTCATTGGTTAGTTCTTTTGATTCACAGGTATATGAAGTAGAGTATATCTCTAAATTTCTTTAATTATGTTAACCAGAAAAGTCATTTCTATTGCACATAACCACAGAATAATTGGAACAGAAATTGATATCTGAGAGTAGATTCTAATTAAAAGGGCATCAAGGAATTACGGAGCATTTAAAATTGATCATTAGGCCAAAAGAAAAAAAAGGGCAAAAGGCAATGTGACTCTCTTTTATATTTGGGGAGAAGAAAGTAACAGCTTAGCAAGTCTCGTTGAGAAACAGTGAAGTTCCAGGGAATTGGAGAGCAGATATCTCAGATATATTCCAGAGCATGTTGCAGTGGTTCTGATGGCGTGAAGCATACCATGTGTGAACTCAAAACTATGAATTCTTCCCTTCACTAAGTTGATGGCAGATAATGCTGACAATAGCATCCAGCTAGTAACCAATTACATGGTAACAACCCTTAAGAGAACAAGTATGTTAACATCTTGTATCATGACGGACAGTCATTTTGTACTTACAGGAAATAAGAATTTATTGAGGATTTCATGCTGTCTTCACTGGTGCATCACATACTAAATTCAATATATTGATCTGCATGTGTATAAACACAAACACACATATATAAAATAAAATTTCTTTTCACTTAGGCTATGTACTAACTTCTGTATTTTTTTTCCCTGACTAAAAGCATTATAACAAAGAAGCTATTAATGGATTAGTTTAGCTACCAGTTGAAATGCTTCATCCTCAGGGAGAGTGTCCCCAGGAGTCAACTGCAAGTTATAATCAGCTTCCCCTCCGCCCACTTGGGCTCCTGGGGATGCACTTCACCTAATAGCCCAGCAGTCAGCTGGGTAAGGAAATGAAAAGTTCCCCAGCAGGCAAGCATCTATAGCAGCTCCAGTGAAAGCAATTTTATCACAATGTTCTATTCAGAATCTTTCATCAGCCAATTCAATTCAATCCCCATTTATTTCTTTCGATGATCTTTATCAAGCACTGCTTTACTTGCCAAGAGACTGTTGTAGGCACCGTGTACACAGTAGAACAAAAAATGGACAAAACTCCCTTCTCTCATGGAGTTTGCATTCTAGTTCTGGGGGAGAGAGACAGATAAATGATGACAGCAAATACATTTTGGAGAAGGCTAAATGCTAAGGTGATGGTAATCAAAATAAAGCACAGGTAAGGGTGTGTGTTCTCTGTTTTCAGAAATGGCCTGTTTGGGAACATAACCAAAGAGTCTGTGGAAATATGTTTCAGGCAGTGAGACTGGCAGGTGCAAAGGCCCTGACATGAGAGTGTGCATTGTATATTGAGGAACAGCAAGGAGGCGAGCATGAATGGAGCAGGGTAAGCAGAAAGGTGAGAATTTGGATCTGGAGGTATCCAAGTGAGAGCCAGATCATGTAGACTCAAGAAGTTAATGGAAATGCATACTCTGGGCCTGGTACAGTGGCTCAGTGGACTAATCTTCCTACCTGTGGCACTACCCAGTTGCTCCACTTCTGATTCAGCTTTCTGCTTCTGGCCTGGGAGAGGATGGCTCAAGTTCCTGGGATTCTGCACCCACATAGGGAACCTAAAAGAAACTTCTGGTTCTCAGTTTTGGATCACCTGAACTCTGGCTGTTTTGGCAATTTGAGGAGTGAACCAACAGAAGACTTCCTCTATTTCTCCTTCTCTCTGTAAGTTTGCCTTTTACATAAAAATAGATAAATATTTAAAAAAATAAATTTGTATTATATAGAAACTACATGTGGATTTAAAGAATTTCCTTTTAAAGATTAATTTAATTGAAAGAGAGAGAGAGAGAGAGCAAGAGAGTGCTTTAATCATCTGGTTCATTCTACAAATGGTGCAATAGCTAAGGCTGGACAAGACCATAGGCTTGGAGCCAGAACTGCATCTTGGTTTCCAATATGGGTGGAGCCCCAGTGCCAAAGCACTTGAACCATCTTCAGATGCCTTCTCAGGTGCATTAACAGAAAGCTGAATCTGAAGTGAAACAGCCAGGACTTGAATTGGTACTTACATGAGAGGATGCTGCTGTTACAAGCGCAGTCCCTTCAAAAGTTTGTGTATGGGCACGGCTCAGTAGTCTAGCAGCTAAAGTTCTTGCCTTGCATACACCAGAATCCCATATGGGCACCGATTCTAATCCCAGTGGCCCTGCTTCCAATCCAGCTCCCTGCTTGTGGCCTGGAAAAGCAGTCCAAGATGGCCCAAAGCCTTGGGACCCTGCACCTGCTTGGGAGACCCAAAAGAGGTTCCAGGCTCCTGACTTCGGATTGGCTCAGCTCCAGTCATTGTGGTCACTTGGGGAGTGAATCATTGGACAGTTCTTCCTCCTCTCTGTATATCTGACTTTACAACAAAAATTAAAGAAATCTTAAAAAAAAGTTTCTGTATCAAAATAAATTTCTCTTTTGATTCTAGTCCTCACCCCCACCCCCCGCAAGCTTTCAGAAGTACCCTTAGAATATGTAAGGAGAGTGGCATTGTACTCACCTTCTCTCTAATTTAGATGCTAACCTATCCTAGAAATTTTTACAAAGATTTATTTTATTTCTATTGGAAAGTCAGATCAGATTTATGGGGAGAATCACAGAGAGAAAGATTTTCCATCCACTATTTTACTTTCCAAATGGCCACAACAGCTGGATCTGAGCCAACCCAAAGTCTGGAGCCAGGAACATCTTCCATGTCTCTCATGTAAGTGTAGGATCCTAAGGCATTGAACCATCCTCCACTACTTTGCCAAGTCACAGGCATGAGCTAGATGGTAAGTAGAACAGCTGGGACAGGAACCTTTGCTTATATGGGATCCCGGCACTTGCAGGGGGAGGATTAGCCAATTGAGCATCAGGAACATTCTAAGAATTCTTAAAAAGCACATGAGAAACTTATTTCAGGATATCATTCCTGTATTCACACCTTGGCCAATTCAGATGCTATGGTCAAACTTTGGTCAAACATTAAGAAATTTGTATTTAGTTGAGAGGCAGAGAGAGAGAGAGAGACAGAGTATGTGCTGTCAATGCGTGGGACTGGGTCAACCACCAACTCAGTCCAGGTCTCCCAGATGGGCGATAGGGATGCAAATATGTAAGCTTCACCTCTGCCTCCCAGGGTCTTCATTAGTAGAAAGCTGGAGTCAGGATCCAGAACTAAAATTTGAACCCAGGTACCAGGATGTGGGTATCTTAATTAGTGTCTGATGCCCACTGCAGTGATTTTTTTTTTAAAAAAACTTTAATAGTTTGGGGCTAATGCAGTGGCTTAACAGGCTAATCCTCCACCAAGCAGTGCCAGAAAGTGCATATGAGTGTGGGTGTGTGTTCTGGCTGCTTCATTTCATATCCAGCTCTCTGCACTATGGCTTGGGACAGCAGTGGAGGATGGGAGCTAGAAACCATTTTGGGGAGTGAACCAGCAGATGGAAGATCTTTCTCTCAGTCTCTCCTCCTCTCCATACATTTGCCTTTCCAATAAAATAAATAAACCTTAAAAAAAAAGAACCAGTAGTAACTTATAGAAGGAAATGAACTTTATGAGGTCTGTACATTATGTCATTAGTTAAATTAAGAACAGTAGCTATGATTTGATAAAACATACAGCAGAAAGTGTCATTTGTCTTTGGTGGCAGAAGAGTATTGGGGATCAAAAGTAATAGGATGTATTAAGGGAGATAATAATAAGCATTTCCAGTAGTTAATAAAAGGTGTATCAAAGTACAATAGGCAAATTTGAGGTAGCATAAAGAGACTGAATAATCAGGATGTTAATCTCACGCAAAAAGCTGCCAATGTGTGCAACTGGAAGGTTTTGGAGCTTTTTCTAAGGATTCTCATCTTGAGGTCTTCTAATGAAATGGATAGCTCCCCGCCCAACCTCTACCTGCCTAAGTATAATTCTATGCTCCTATTGGCCAATTAAAGCACTCTTTCAGGGATGCATTTACTACATCTTGGACCTACGGAGGAAGACACCATGAAAACAGTTCTATGTGGTGCTTAGGCAAGTAACAAAATTCTCAGGTGGTTTCACATATAGACACCACTCGCTACCTACCTCATAAGATGTTCCCTTCAATCGGAGGGGTTTTTAAGGGTCCTCTATGCTTCTCTTTCCTTAATCCTTTTTTTTTTTCTTTTGGTAAATCTTTTGGTCCCCTACCTGCCACTTGTGATGGATCCACACTGTGCCTGCAGTGTCAGCATCTCATGTATTCTGGTTGCTCTGCTTCCCATCCAGCTCCCTGTTTGTGGCCTGGGAAGGCGGTTGAGGCTGGTCCGAGGCCTTGGAACTCTGCACCCACATGGGATACTGGGAAGAAGCTCCTGGTTCTTGGCTTCAGATTGGCTCAGCTTCGACTGTTGTGACTACTTGGGGACTGAACCAGCAGCAGAGGGGAACTCTTTCCCTCTCTGTCTCTCCTTTTCACTCTGTAAATATGTCTTTTTTAGATAAAAATAAACAAATACATCTTAAAAATAGGAGGAGCACTAAGCAGGCAGCATTAGCCAGCTGGTTACTAGCTCTGAGCCCTAGATTCTTCAAAAAATGAAGTCGTTATCAAAGTTGCCCTGCAGAACGGTGAACATTTAATAAATTACTGTACAACAATCCGCAAATAATGGTTGCCTATTTCCTCTCTTTAGCTATCATAGTACCCACAGGCCTGCTGTGAATGGTGATGTCAGGACTTGAACTCCTGTATATCAGGGGCCATAGTCCAGTTCTGAACTTTTCCAATACCTCCTGACATTTTTTTCACGGATACGTTCAAGGCAAATTCACCATACAAGTCAGTCATATCATAGTCAGTAAAACTTTTAAAAATTACAGTTTCCAAGTTCGGTGATGGCGATTTGGTCCTAGACTCCGAACTCGGCTCTTGGAGGGGCTTAAATTGTCCCAGCGTGGGGGCACTCCGCGCCGGGAGAGCCGGGTTTATTGTGAGCTTACAGAGTGGTAAGGTCTCAGCAGGTGACGAGGGCGGGCGGCGCGGTCAGCCGGCAGGTGCCACACCCCTTCCCGCCCGCCTTCCCGCCGGCGCCCGCTGGGCGTCCCTAGCAACGCGCGCGCTCCCTCCCAGCCCCGCCCCGCCCCAGGCGGCGGCGGCCTTTGCGCCTGCGCGAGGCTTCAACCGCCAGTCACCTCTCTTCCCCCCTCCCTTCCCCCTCCCCTCTCCTCCTCCTCCTCTGCCGCCTGGAACCAGACGCTAACATGGAGCCCGAGGATCTACCGTGGCCGGGCGAGCTGGAGGAGGAGGAGGAGGAGGAGGTGGTAGAGACGGCGGCGGCGACCGAGCCTGAGGAGGCAGTCAACTTGGATGAGATCGTGGTGTTGGAGGAAGAGCCCAGGCCAGAGTTGGACTCGGACTTGAACGACGACTACCCGCCCCGGGAGAGCACTGACGAAGACGAGGAGGACGATGAGGCCAAGGCCTGGCTGCAGGCGCAGCCGGGCGGCTCGCTGCCCCCGCCGCCGCCGAGGCACCGCTACTCGGAGGGAGAGCGGGCTTCCCTGGAGGTGAGCCTGCGGGGCCGCCCTCGGGCCGGGGCTGAGGGGTTGGCCGCGAGCGCCTCGCCGGCTCGCCGCGGGTCGGGGGGCTGGACGGCCCTTGTGCTGCCCGGGTGCTGGCCGCCTGCCTTCCCCTTGACGTCTGCAGTTGTCCGGGTGTTGCCTTGGGGCGCAGGTAGGGCTTGTGGTGCCCCGCGGGGCAGGGGAAAGTGCGGCGTGAGACCTGCCTGCGTGCCTCCCTGGGGAGACCGTTTCCTCGCCGGCTTTCCCTAAGAAGAGAGCGCGCGGGTTAGGAACGTGCCGGTTGTATCCAGCACGCCGCTCCTTAAGCTGTGGAAACCCCAGCTCCTAGGAGGGACTTAGGACTTGAGCATACAAGGCTTGCGGTGTATTGCTTCCGTCTGACATGGGAGGAAAATGCCGAATTGTTTTGATCGGCCTGCCAAGATCTCTTTGACAAAACAACCACGTGTTTAGCTGCTCTTCAAGCCACACCACTGGAGCAGTTCAGCACAGTAGCCACTCGCTGTGCGTGGCCCTATGACATCACCATTAGTTGCAAATACATAAAATTAGAAATGCATTGCCTCCATTGTTACAATCCCTTTAAGTGCTCACTAGCCGTCCGCGCTGGTGACTGTCACATTGGGCCACGGTGACCATTTTGCCTGCCATATTTCAGTGTATACTTGATTTCGTTGAGCACAAATGGTTTTGTTCAGTAGTCACCGTGTGCTGTATATTGTACGGTCGGCTAAGGAAATCTTGGTGACCCTTTTTGGTCCCTGCCTTTCTAGTTTGGAATCTAGAGAGGAAGGCCAACACAGAGTAGTAAAACTTGTTAAGATACCCTGAAGGCGTAGGGAATGGTCACCTGGCCTTAATGATAAAGCCGGGGGGGAAGCTTCCTCAGGGAGGTTCCCATAGAGTTTACCACTGAAGACATGTTGGTTAAGGTTGATCGGGCACCTCGTAGTTGCAGAAAAAGTGCTTGGGAAGGTACTAGTGTTTGGAGACAGTGGTGTTGAATGCTAACCTGAGGTTTTGGGGCCCTGTCCCAGGGCTTTGGGATTTCAATGGCGATGTTTTAAGAGAGTGTGAAGAGATTTGTGTTTGGAGTGGAGTGTCTGGCAGTAGGTCAGGAGGCCATAGCAGTGTTTAGGAATAGGGAAGTGTTGATGGGTGTGGGCAAGGAAGGTGGACTTAAAGAATTGAAGAGGCAAAATCATTACATTTAATAATGGGTTGGATGTGGCTGGGCTAACATTAGGAATGGCCAGGTTTATGTAGGATGGGGTGCTAAGGTTATATCAGTTTCATTTTGAGGGTTAGAGGAGAGGTCTGGGTTAGGAATTTTCCATCTTATATCTTATTGGGGTTTTTTTAAAATATTTTTCTTGGAAAGGCGGATGTATGAGAGGAGGAGAGACAGAGAGGAAGATCTTCCGTCTGATGATTCACTCCCCAATCAGCCCCAACGGCTAGAGCTGAATCAATCCAAAGCCAGGAGCCAGGAGCTTCTTTCTGGGTCTCCCACACGGGTGCAAGGTCCCAAGGTTTTGGGCCATCCTCGACTGCTTTCCCAGGCCACAGGCAGTGAGCTGGATGGGAAGCAGGTTCTAATCCTGGCAGCCATATGGGATCTTGGTGCATTCAAGGCGAGGACTTTAACCACTACGCTGTTGTGCTGGGCCCTATCTTATTGGTTTTAAAGGAGTTTATTTATTTGGAAGGCAGAATGATACAAGAGAGATTACAGACACAGAAAGGAATGTGGTTTTATCTGATGGTCCACTCTCCAAGGGCTCCAACAGCTGCCCGCCAGGGTACACCTTACTCAAACTCTGATGTGTAGTATCCCCAGGGATGCCTGCCCCTGAGCTAAAGATTTTAAGTCTAAGTTATCTACATACAGATATAGACCACAGTTACAGTCATGATTGTTCTATGACTTGAATAATAATATTTTAAGTTATACCTTCCTGCCAGGAGGAGGTTTGTAAACTAGCTCCCTTTACCTCTTATCGTAGGTAATGATATAATTGTTACCCTGATTAACACTGACCGATCTATGTAAAATAGAAAAATTTTGCTTCTTAGATCCCAGAGTGATTTTTGCCTCCGGAGTTTTTTGTTTTTGTTTTTTTTTTTTCTTTAGCAAAATTAGATTTTTGTTTGTTTATTTGCTGGGAACTCAATGCTTGCAATGATCAAGGTCAAAACCAGGAGCTAGAAACTCAATCCATGTCTCCCATGAGGGTGGCTGGAACCTAGCTACTTGAGCCATCCTTGCTTGCTTCAGCAGGAGCTGGAGTCAGCACTGGCCCTGGGCTTGAAACTCAGGACTCGGGACTCGCGTGTGGGAGGCAGGCTTCCTAAGGGCTGATTTAATTGTTAGGCCAAATGCCTGTCCTGAGACAGGCGTTTCTTATTTTACCTCACAGAATAGATGGAGTCATTAGCAGAGTTCTGTATTAAAAGTATCTAGTAATTATTAAGATAGTTTTCCTTTAGGTCACTGGCGTATTAGTACTTACAAGCATGTTTGGAAAGTGTTTAAAGGAGAAAATATTAATAAGTTTCTTGCTAGAAACTTATGAACTGTGATGTTTGTTGATTTGTCATGTAGCATTTAGTGCAGTCCAAAGTATCAAAAGGGTGAGATCAACTAGTAGGAAACAATTTGAATCTATTCTCAAATGATACTATTACATTATTTGAATTACTCTTACTTATTTTTCACTAGATAGTAAAGGCATCCTATTGGTAATATATACAGCAGTGACTAAGTTTGTAGTCAGGGACCAGAAACTCAATGTGGGTTTCCCCTTGTGGGTGGCAGGGACACTGATTTGAGCCAGCACCTGCTGTCTGCGCTTGCAGGAAGCTAGAATTGGGAGCTGGAATAAGCGGACACAGATGTCCAGGATGAATGCCTGTTGTAGCTTTCGTGTGTTTAACTTAATAACATCAGTTTTCATCCTTTACTACTTCTTTGGGTTTACTTAGATTTTTTTTAACTTGTGCCTAGTGTGCTTTATTGATTTATTTTAACCATTTTAAGAGCTTTGTCGAAGCTTGTTTGAGCAAATCACTCTTGATTTAAAGTGCATAAGTCCATGATTTCAGTGTATTTGTTGGTATGTGCTGTTGTATACTATTAGCAATTTGGGCCACAAAACCAACCACGGGCCTGGCATGGTAACTCAACAGCTAAAGCCTCGCCTTGAATGCGCCAGGATCCCATATGGGTCCTGGTTCTAATCCTGGTGGCCCTGCTTCCCATCCAGCTCCCTGCTTGTAGCCTGGGAAAGCAGTAGAGGATGGGCCAAGACTTTGGGATCCTGCACCCATGTGGAAGACCTGGAAGAGGATCCAGGCTCCTAACTTTGGATTGGCACGACTCCAGCTATTGCAGCCGCTTGGGGAGTGAATCATTGGATGGAACATCTTCCTCTCTGTCTCTCCTCTCTGTATATCTGGCTTTGCAATAGAAATAAAAATAAATCTTAAGCACACACACACTGGAAAACGCACAAGAGATTTACTGTTGATAGCTAAGTCCTTATTGGAAGAGAGCAGTAGCCTGCTGATGGAGGATGAAGGTAATATGAAAGTGATTAAGAAAGAGAGTCTTAGTTTAGGGAAAGGGTTTTATTAATCGAGGGAGAGTGAGTCTGACAGACTGTTACCTGGTGGAAGACAGCCCGGACCACTTCCGCATGACAGGATGACCATATGGGGGAAATGGCTGCCCGAGATATATAGCACCAGGTTTTTAGGCATCTTAGGCGCAGAGAATGGAAGAAGGAATAAGCTCCTCAATTTGCATATTTGTTTGTCATCATGATGGACATCGATCTTGTGCTCAGAAACAAGGTCAGGGTGACTTTTAAATATTCCTGGATGGGAATGTTGGCTTGACCTTGGCAGGATGCTAAAGTCACTTTTGCTCATCCCAACATATGCTGCTTTCCTAGGTGCATTAGCAGGGAGCTGGTTTGAAAGTCAAGCACCTTGGATCCAGTGTGGTGGCCTAGCAGCTAAAGTCCTTGCCTTGAATGCGCTGGGATCCCATATGGGTGCCAGTTCTAATCCCGACAGCTCCACTTCCCATCCAGCTCCCTGTTTGTGGCCTGGGAAAGCAATCCAGGATGGCCTAAAGCCTTGGGACTCTACCTGTGTGGGAGACCTGGAAGAAGTTCCTGGCTCCTGGCTTTGGATCGGCATAGCATCGGCCGTTGTGGTCACTTGGGGAGTGAATCATCAGACGGAGGATCTTCCTCTCTGTGTCTCCTCCTCTCTGTATATCTGACTTTCCAATAAAAATAAAAATAAAAATAAATCTTAAAAAAAAAAAGAAAGTCAAGCACCTGGGGCTTGAACCAGCATAATGAGTTATACCATTGTTGGCATAAACAGTCTGTCATTGTAGGCAATGGCATAACTCATTAGGCTGCAACATTGGCTCCTCATTTAATTTTTAACTATTATCTTTACTTTTAAAAGAAATCATGCATACTAGCTAATATTGTCTTTTTTCACCTAAGCAAGTATTAATCTACTTTGTTTCTCAATATTTTGCCTATTTTGTGCATTTCATATAGATGGAATGGTGTGAGCGCGTGTGTGCGTGTGTTTGCGTGTGTGTGTGTGTAACTGGTTTATTTCACTTAGGTTTTCTTTTTTTAAGAAGATTTATTTTTATTGGAAGGGCAGATTTACAGAGAGAAGGGAAGACAGAGAGAAAGAACTTCCATCTGCTGATTTACTCCCCAAAGAACTAATTAAGGATTTCAGAGAATGAAAAACTAAAGGATAGGAAATATTGTAAAGGGAAAAACAGAAATAAGTAAATTAGTACATATAATAAAATATTACAGAAAATTATAAAGAGAAAAACAAATAAGTAGATTAATAGATATAATTGTTCATTTAGGAAATATTGAAAAATAGATGCATTCCTGATAAATACAGCCGAGGGGTGGGGGAATAGCATACAAAACTATTAAGGTTTATACAAGTGTTCTAGGGTTATTAAGGATGAAATTGAAAATTTATAATGTCAATCAGATATTATAAGATTATTTAGACCTGTTATATTTATTAGTAAAATAGTACATTTTTAAGGAAAATGGAATTTCCTTGTATAAACATTGACAAGGTTAATAGAACATGGTTAGAAAAGAAAGCATTTGAAAATGCCAATTTTATTCATTACTTTATATGTGTTGAAGTACTGGAAAAAATGCTTAAAAATTTGATTTAACGGTATAATCTTCTATTGTCAAGAAAAATAATAAGATATTTCAGTACAAGTTAACTTATTTCTATACTTTGTTGGGTTTACTTAGGGAAAAGAAGGTGCTGTAATGTAGCTTGACCAAATTTTCTGCTTATTCCTAGTTCTGTGATTTAAAATGAAAGCAAAAGAATGCCTTCACAGCATAATAGGAAGAATAAATCTAATTAATGACTAATATAAAACTTAAAAAATAATTACCTTTAAAACTGATTACTATTTTAAGTAACTTTAATTCAACATTGCTGTTTACTGTTATCTGTGGATGAGTGCCAGTTCATGAATTGCTTTTTATCATTTTGTCAAGAGAAAAGTAGTGTCAAGAGAGAAGTGTTTTTAAAAATTATGACTGTCTGACAGTAATTTTATATATATATATTTATTTATTTTTGTGTTTTAGGCTGTATGACCTTTATATTTTATTTACTAGATTTTTAGGCAGATTTAGAGAAGGAAAGACAGAGAGAGATCTTCCCTCTGCTGGTTCACTGTCTAAATGGTCCCAATGGCTGGAGCTGAGCTGATCCAAAGCCAGAATACAGGGGCCCAAGCGCTTGAGCCATTCTCTGAAGTATTAATCTGAAAGGAATCGGAAACAGTAAAATCCAGTTTAGAAGCATTACTTTGAATCATGCCAGTAATGTAAGAGTAAATATTTCGAGGAGACAAGAACAACTTATGGTTCATGATAATGCTATATTCTGAGAAGAGCCAGGAGTCTTCTAGAAACTAGTACTGCTAATAAAATTTAATGGACTGGCTATAGGTATAGGTTAGATATCTCTTACCTGAAGTGCTTAAGGCAGGAAGTGTACCATGTGTTAGATTTTTAACTTTGCATATACTTCACTACTTGAGCATTCCTAACCTGGAAATTTGAAGTCCAGAATGTTCTGAACATTGAAAATGTGAAATGGTTTGGAGCTTCTGCTCAAAAGTTTTGGATCTCAGGTCACTGTGGGGATGCTCAACCTGCACTGCAGTTTGGGATTTTGAAAAGTTTTGTTCTTCAGTTTTATAATCAGACTGTAAAATTTCACCAGGTAAAACCAAACCTGTTACCTTAAAGATGGGAATTAACTTAAAATACAAGAGAAATACCAGCGATTGCTCCAACACTTTATGAGATCGTTAATAATGTGAAGACATCTAAATGTATGTAGTATTCTGAGAAGCAAAAAAAAAAAAAAAGAGCTTTACTTTTTCCAAACTTTGAAGAGAATGTTATTAAATAGGAAGCAGTTTGCCACGTACGTGGACATTTTCATCTAAATGTTAATGTAATTCGATTAATGACTTAGCATGTTTTCCTTTAAAATTATTGTTTTAGAGAAAAGAATCTTGGCATTGTCTTCCTCAAGAAACGGACTCTTCCCAAACCCTGGATTCATCCCAGACCAGGTTTAATGTGAGAGCAGAAGGGATCGAAGTGACAGACTTCTCTTCTCTCGAGGACAGTGTGTTGAGCCAATCAGAAAGCCAAGTAAAGGAGCCCAACAGAGATAGAGATCTGTTTTGTTCTCCGTTGCTAGGTAATGCCTCTTTAATACCTCACATTTTTCGGGACTGCAGGCCCTCCATGTCACTGAATCCTTTTTGAGCTGAGGAGGTGTAGAGAGTCATATGCAAAGGGGTTCACTTATTTCTGTTTTTTCATACAGGCCAGCTAGTCTTGTATTAAATATGCAATTGTGCCTTATTTTGTCATGCCCTGACTCTCACAGAAGACAGAAAGGTGATGTCTTCCTGTTGGTGGATGTGCTTCCATGAGCCTGGATTTTTGGTGGCATTCTTGGAAATAAAGCATAGATTGTTATTTGACTAGTCACAGAGCTTGTCACCAACAGACTTGAAACTTGAACCCAGATTATCCTAATTCTGAAGCCTATAATTTTATTTACCTCTTAAACAATTGTGTGCAAGTGCTAAGTACAGTAGATACTTTGCTGGACATTGAGAATGCATTTTGAAGAGTGCAGACATAAGAGTTGGCAGTTTTGATGAGAAGTGAGTAGACGAAAGCAGCATGAATGTTATGAGGAGTGGACACTGGGTGCAGCGAGTTCAGCTGCCGCCACGGCCTTGGGATGCCTAATCCCAGACTGGAGTGCCTGAAATTTAAGTCCTGGCTGCTCTGTGCTTCGGATTCTGTGTCCTGCCAATGCGCCTGGAGACAGCAGATGACGGCCCTAGTGTGTGGATTCCTGCGAGCCGTGTGGGAGATCTGTATGCAGCTGCCTTATCCCAGCTCTGATCTGGCACAAACATTTAGGGAGAAAACCAGTAGATGGAAGATCTTTCTGTTTGTCACTCTACCTTTTAAATAAATTAATAAGTCTTTTAAAAATGTGTTGAGTTATGGTAGGAGAGGAATGCAGGGTATGTGAGGGTCTGTATTGCTGCATTAAGCGAAGGGCAGATGTCACTATGATGAACTCTGTGAACTCGGGGATCGCAGTGATTTCAGAGATAACGGTGAGAAGATGAAGTCCTCACTTTGTACATATTTCTGTAGACATTTTGAAGTCAAACTATACTGCAGCTATTGGAAAAGCAATTCAGTTTTAGCCAATCATTACACATCAAGTTAATTTTGTTGGCTTTATAACAAAATTTCATTTATACTAATATATATTTCTTTTGTGGTTGTGTAAGTACTATAAGGAATAAAGAATTTATATTCAGTTTGTACATATTTAAGGTAATACATTAAGAATTATTGAAACTACCATTCAATAAATGTGTTTTTCTTCCATTAAAAGCAATTTTCACAGTTCTTGGTTAATAGGATTCTGTTACACATTTAAAAATTACTGATAACTGATATACTTTGTTTATTTGGGTTATTGATATTTCCCTATTAAAGCTAAAATTTAAAACATTTATAATTTCATTTTAAAATAACCACCCCATTGCATATTAGCATAAATCACTATTAAGATAATTCTACAAAACAAAAATATTTAGAATAGCCTTGTTTTACTTGAAAAAGAAGTCCACTTTTGTAATGTCTGGCTTACTAGAAGATAGCAAGAATCTCATACCTGCTTTGGCATTCAGTTGGTTGATAACGTTATATGATGTAGCTACTTGAAAATGTCAGTATACCCTTTGAGAGAATAAAAGTAAATAAGCAGGTAATACCTTAATTATTAGAATATGAATTTGAAATGAAGCACATAAGACTGGTTTAAGCCCCAGGAAGCCCTTGACCACACTTTGGTATGAGAGCTGTAGTCTTTTTTTTTTAAGATTTATTTCTTTTTATTGGAAAGGCAGATTTAGAGAGAAAGAGAGACAGAGAAAGATCTTCCATCCGATGATTCACTCCCCAAGTGGCTGCAATGGCTGGTTCTGTGCTGATCCAAAGCCAGGAGCTAGGAGCTTCTCCAGGGTCTCCCACGTGGGTGCAGGGTCCCAAGGCTTTAGGCCGTCCTCAACTGCTTTCCCAGGCCATAAGCAGGGAGCTGGATGGGAAGTGGAGCACCCCAGGACATGAACCGGTGCTCATATGGGATCCCAGCACTTGGAGGGGGAGGATTAGCCAGTTGAACTGTTGTATCATGCTGGAGAACTATAGTCTTTATCTTAAAATGGAAAGAAACATAATAGTTAAAGAGGATTTACTGAAAAGTTAAAATATATAGGTTCACATGTTGCTCTTCTTTATAAGCTATTTGAATGAGAACAGGGTAATATAGTTTTATAATTATATTCCTTCTCCCTTTAAGACAAGTGTAATTATCCTAGTTGCCACTGTGATTAAACACAGCAGTGTATGTTAAGTGTCTGAGCGGTAGCTGTTATTACACTGTTTTTCAAAATTTTGTTTGAGAAAGAAAACTTTCTTCCACCTTAAAAAATATACATGTACATTTATTTATTTATTTGAAAGGTGTAGTGATGGGGTGGGGATGGAGAGAAAGAAGGAAAGGGAAAGAGGGGTATTTTCTGTTGTTTCATTCCCTACTTTGCTGCTGTTAATAGCGAGGGCTGGTTCAGGCCAAAGCCAGGAGACAGAAACTCCATCTTGATCTCCTATGTGAGTGTCAGGGCCCAAGCACTTAGGTCCATCATCTGCTACAGTTCCTAGTTCATTGGTAGGGAGCCGGATTGGAAGCTGAGCACACAGGACTCAAGCCAGCACTCCAAAATGGGTTGCTGGCATTGCACATGGTGACTTAACCTGCTGTGTCATCATGCCACTTAAAAATGTTTTGTTTGTTTAAAAGGCTGAGTTACAGAGAAGAGAGGACAGAGAGAGTGATCTTCCATTGCTGGTTAATTCTCCAGACAGCTGCAACAGTCAGGGCTTTCCAGGTTGAAGTCAGGGAAGTAGAATACCATCTGGATCTCCCAGATAGCACGCTAGGGACCTAGGACTCCATACAGTCTTCCACGTGGGTAGCAAGGGCCCACGTGCCTGGCCCATCTGCTTTCCCAGGTGCATTAGTGAGGATTTGGATTAGAACCCGAGCAACTCCATCCCCAACCACTGCACCGCAGAACCGACCTTCCAGCTGCTCTTTGATTCCTCAGATGCTTACAATGTGTGGAGCTGAAGCTGAGAGCCAGGGATGCAAGCCAGGTCTCCTGTATCCAACTACTAAGCTATAATTTGGTGCCACCCAGTGTTTATGTACATTAGCAGGAAGCTTGAATTTAAGTGGTTACAGGGCTCAAAACCAGGCACTCTGGTATGGGGTATAGGTGTCCCACCCAGCATCTTTAACTACTAGGTTAAATGCCTGTCCTTTTATTATCCTAATGTTTGTGGAAACTTCCAGGTGGTAGCATGTGTAAAGTGCTTTAAAGTATTATATGAAGAAGCTAAGCAATCATTTTTCAACATTAACATTTTTGTACTCTTTCAGTCATACAAGATAGCTTTGCTTCTCCTGATTTGCCTTTGCTGACATGTATGACTCAAGATCAAGAGTTTGGGGCCGATTCCTTATTTCATCCAAGTGAACTAGAGTTTGCACCTCTAAGGTAAGGTGACGTATTTATGTGTATGTAACCTTTTTCTCCTTTTCTTGTTCTAAGTTGTTACTGCTGTTGATTTCGGACTAAGATGGGACTCCTGGGTGGTGGGAGGTACATGATATAGAGATGAGCCAGGTGACTAATTCACTTCATAAGTTTCCTTTGTAGTCTATATTCCAAGCACATTTTGGTGTAGAAGGCACCTTGTATTTTCCTTCTCATTACCCTCCTTTTATACTGCCCATTATTATTCCCCTCCTCATTGTTGTTCTGCAAAAAGGCATTCACTGACTTGCTTTGCGCTCTCATTTTGGTCAGCTGTTGTTGAGTGAGGCTTGTTAGTTCTTCCCTTATGAATTTGGGGAAGCAAGATTTTGCTAACAGATATATCCAAATTCATAGATATTTAAATTAATGTTTTTTAATCATAATGAATAAGTCTGGAGCTCTTTTTAATTTTTATTATTATTTTTAAAAAAGGTATTTATTTTGGGCCCGGTGCGGTGGCGCAAGTGGCTAAGGTCCTCACCTTACATGCCTGGGATCCCATATGGGAGCCGGTTCTATCTCGGCAGCCCAGCTTCCCTTCCAGCTCCCTGCCTGTGGCCCGGGAAAGCAGTCGAGGATGGCCCAAAGCCTTGGAACCCTGTACCCGCGTGGGAGACCCGGAAGAAGTTCCTGGCTTCGGACCGGCATAGCATCGGCCGTTGCGCTCACTTGGGGAGTGAATCATCGGACGGAAAATCTTCCTCTCTGTCTCTCCTCCTCTCTGTATATCCGCCTTTCCAATAAAAACATAATAAAAATAAATCTTTTTTTAAAAAAAGGTATTTATTTTATTGGAAAGTCAGATTTACAGAGAGAAGGAGAACCAGAAAAAGATCTTCTGCCCACTGGTTCACTCACCAAGTGGTCACAACAGCCAGAGCTGAGCCAATACAAAGCCAGGAGCCAAGAGCTTCTTCTGGGTCTCCCACGTGGGTGCAGAGTCCCAAGGCTTTGGGCCGTCCTCGACTGCTTTCCTAGGCCACAGGCAGAGAGCTGGAAGGGAAGTGGGGCCACTGGGATAAAAATGGACACGCATGTGGGATCCAGCTCATGTAAGGTGAAGGCTGTAGCCAATAGGCTACCATACTGGGCCCTGGAGTTCTTCAAAAGATATTTGTAGCTATTTAACAATAGAGTGTACTTTTTCTATCTTAAAACTACAGAAAGGCTACCTTTGGTTAAAAGCTGTAACCTCTGCCATTATGCTATGTATTGCTTTACATTAATTTATGAGAAATACTCTGTACGCATGTGTTTGTTAACTGATGATTAAGTCCTGTTGTTAACTGATGGAAGTTGATAATTTGGGTGTACTTTTAAAGTGCAAGAAGTGATAGTTGATAAACTAAACAGAGTAGTAATGCCCAGAAAGTCTATTTTGAATTTTTCATTTAGATGACCACTATGTTGGCAATATAAGAATCAGATTTTGTGTCTCTTGTTCCAGAAGTCAGATATCAAGGTCATAGGGTAATAGTTTACCTTCTGGTTTCAGAAAATTTTGTTTTATTCAGTTGTTAGCCACCTTAAAGGAATTTAAAGTTATATGCTTTTTGGTAAAATTTTTTATTTGGAAACTTTGCTTTATAACACGCTTTTCTATTAAGCTTGATTTAAGTGGCATTTTGTTATTCTTACATGGAATCTGAAATTAAAAGAAATGCCCGAATGTATTAGTTTTGTTAGTTTTACAGTGTGATCTTAAACTTTGTTTTGAATGTTGATCAAACAAGTTATTAGGAATTATATAACTTTTTTTCCCTGTAAAATAGTGTATACTCTGAAGTGAACTGTGTTGCTATGATGTTCAATAGGATAAGTATGCTAAATGTATTTTAGACTTAGGGTAATTTTTTAAAAAAGATTTATTTTATTTTTATTACAAAGTCAGATATACAGAGAGGAGGAGAGGCAGAGAGGAAGATCTTCCTTCCAATGATTCGCTCCCCAGGCGGCCACAGCGGCTGGAGCTGAGCCAGTCCGAAGCCAGGAGCCTCTTCCAGGTCTCCCACGCGGGTTGCAGGGTCCCAAGGCTTTGGGCCATCCTCGACTGCTTTCCCGGGCCACAGGCAGGGAGCTGGATGGGAAGCGGGGCTGTCGGGATTAGAACCAGTGCCCATATGGGATCCCGGCATGCAAGGTGAGGACTTTAACCACTGCGCCACTGTGCCGGGCCCGACTTAGGGTAATTTTTAAAAACAAGTTAATTTTGATGTCATTAGTTCTGTAATTTTATGTTAGCACTCATAAGTTAAGTGTTTTAATGTTTTATTTATCTAAACTTTTACAACTTTTCAGGGGACTTCCTGATAAGTCTGAAGATGCCGATTGGTTTTCCCGACCATCTGAAGTTAGTGAAGCTTTGTTCCAGGCTACCTCGGAAGTAGCTTCAGACTTAGTTAGCAGTTACCTTAGTATATCTCAGCATCCACTTGTAAGTACTCCTGCTGCGGGCTCTCAGCACTGCCTTCTACCTCTTGAACAAGGGAGTAAGGAACTGTGTATTTCATCTGATAATGTTTATGAGCAGAAAAGCCCCAAAGACTCTGGTAATTATGATGCTGCTTGTTTATATATGTCGTGGAAGGCACAGAACAATATACATCAGTCAGAAACTGATTTCACTGATAAAGATCAAGTTTCATTGTCAGGCTCATCTGAAATAAGTGATGAAAACACAGCTTCTAAAAGAAGTGACAGTTTGGATGCTTCTTGTTCCAATATGCAATACTGGAAGCCGGGGACTTTCCAGCAGGTGGAATCATGTCCATCAGATGAGAGCTGTGTGTCTTTTCCACGTGAAGTGACCCCTCCGCCTCCTAATAAAATGTCATATTCTTTCTTGCGATGTTTGTTGGAAGGAAGAAGAAAAGGAATTCCTTTGACTTCAAATAATCGTTACTTGGAGAGTGTTTGTTTAAGGTCCCCAGCTGAGAGCAGGATGAAGCAAAATATGGATTCTTTGAAGGATTATGAAAGAAACAAAGATCTACAGAAAGAATTATCTCAGCATCTTAAACAAGAGGAGACCAGCAATAATTTAGTATCTTCAGAGGTGCATCCAGGGCCTTCAGAAATACCATACACTGAGAAAATTGTAGTTCCTGGTAATTCTGTAAAAGTTTCAGAAGCACATATACTTTCCAGGGGACAAGATCTTTCTAAGATGGAGGCTTCTGGCAGTCTTCTTCAGACTGTTAAACCCAACTTGGATAAGACACCAGAACAACTGTCTTTTCAAGAGGAAAGAAACCAAAAGGCAACTCCTGTTTTTGGTGAGAAAAATGTTGATGCAACTGAAAATTTAGCCTTTGAGGTGGTTACTGCTTCTATTGAGTCTCAAAGAGGAGAGTCCAGTAAAGAAACCCCAAATGAAATCATTAAATCATTAACAGATGTCAGCCAGGAGAGAGAACCAGAAGCCTTTCCCCATTTAATTATAAAGATGATAACTCTTTCTTTGAGCTTAAGCAGCCATGCTATCAGTCTACTCCTGTGGTGCTTGAACCAGTGAAACCATTGTTGCATAAAAAAGATGGTGATGATAGCTTCTTACATTGGCATTCAAACTTAAAATCACCTCCTAGTGGTTTTCAGGAAATACTCAGTAAACCACTTTCGTTACCCTAGAGGTTAAGTCACCTGCTGCTTTAAAAAAAAAAAATCTTGCAAGCAGACTATTGGTCTTGGTGAAACACAGTAAGTTTTATTTCAGTATGAAATAAACAAGGAAATGTTTCTTCCCAAAAGGAAGATAAAGTCTGTTTTTGCTCATGACCTTGCAGAGAAGGTAGGATCTTCAAATCTTATTTATTTGATCAAAATATCAGTTTCACATTCTTTGGTGTTACAAGATTTAATGAAGCAAATCTGTGAAGAAGTTACAGACTCCTTATGCTGTAGTTTGAGTGAGAATGTAGACCTTAGTAACGTTGTTGAAGGTTTGTCAGCAACTATAGCAATCAGTCCTTCAGCAAACTTGGTAGCAAGTGATGCAAAGTCACAAGGTGCTTTATCACTGACCAAAGATGCAGCCTTAAACATGTTTGGCCTAGAGACATTGCTGAAGGCTGATATAGTCCGAGGTGGAAGTCCCCAGTATAAGGGAGCTGAGTCCAGTGTCAGAATACATACAACCATACAAAATGATTCCTATTTTGTAGAGGACCCGCAGGGGCAGGCTGAGTCTGATGGCATTACCATGGATGATGGTCCTGATCCAAGTGCTGTTGTTGCCAGTCAAAGAGTTGCTGAACTACAAAAAGAGGTGAGACACAGTAAAGCAGTGTTTGTGGGAAATATGCAGTTTTCTAGTATTATTGCAAGAAATGGTATTATTTGTTTTTATTTTACTTTTTGCTATTTCCCAGACATGTGAGCAATATGATGTGACTGGTGAGTACATTGAGCTAGTAACTTTAGGAAATTTGCTCAGTGACCTTTGTGACAGCTCCCAGCACTGGCAACCTACTTTACAACAACAGCCGTCTGAGGAGAAGTGTAATTTTCAAGAGCCTGTAAGTTTGTTTGTTTGCTTTTGATGTTTATGAATGAGTAAAGGAATATTTTAGTTCAAAATAGGTAATGGATGTTAAAAACTCATTGAAATCCTCCAATATCAACTTGTGACTTGTAACTTGGTCTTCACCTAATACTCAGGAGTATGTATGCTCCATTAATTTATTAAAAGTTGACATAAAGGAATTGTTTGCATTTGATAGATCATAAAATTTAGGGAGTTCTGTTATGCCAGGGAAAGGCTATCTGTGAGGAGCTCCTAGGTCCTTCACCTTGATACACTCTTAACTCTTTAATGTTGTACCAACAAGAGTCTTTGTGACTGTGATAAGACTGAATTCATTCATGGGACATTCAAATGATTGTACTTTTTACCCCCTCTAGTCTTCAGGAGAGAAATAGTCCCTGGAGTTTTCAGATATTTGTTAGAAGCTCCTGAAAGGTTGACTTCAGAGGTGTCTTGAAAATTACAAGAACCAGTTTTCTCCAGGAAGGATATTGAGGTGCCTAATGTCCAAAATAGTCAGTGTCCTCAGAGAACCAACTGTCCCCTTCCCAAGTGAGCAATATATGCATGTATTTATGCATTGCTTCTGTCTTCATGTTGATATCATATTATCATTTTGTGTGTTTGCACTAGACAATGGTAACTTCCCCATGTTTTCTGGTTCCATTGCGCATCTGCTTTTGTCATCTGCTTTTGTCTCTAAGCCAAACATTTTGCTAAAGGATTTTCTTTAACAGGTGAAGTCTGAAATTCAGGTCATCTTATTTTCTTTATTTCTTTTCTGTTTCATAGGGAGATAATTCTAATCTGGGCATGAATCAGTCTTTCTCATCTAAATTGCCTCCGATTGTTCCACATGAACCAACCAGAGAATCAGAATATCATTCTTCAAATCTCAGAATGTTGAGGGTGTCTCCTGATGCTGTGCCAAAGACTCCCAAATATTTACCAGGTATGTGGTAAAAGAAAAATGACTAGCTTATGAAAAATATTACCATGCCTTAGTAATACTTTATTTTTGAGCTCCTATAATTGAATTCTTTGGATCACATGTATTTATCAGTCTTTTTAGTCGCTATAGACCTCTGTTCCAGAAGCACCTTGCTACTTCAAATGTGACATCTAAAGAGCACAAATTAATTTCTTTACAGTTTTAGAGGCTAGAAAGTCTCAGATCGAGGTACAGGCAGATTCAAGGTAGTAAAGGTCTGTTCTTGATCTCGCTGGGTTCTTTTTATCATGGCCTTTATGATCTGATCTTTCCAAAGGTCCTGCCTCCAAATACCATCATCTTGGAGGTGAGACTTTGGCATATAAATGTTGGGGAAATAAATACACACAGCCTGTAGCAAATCAAACCAAATCTTTTATTAGCTAAACCATTTGACATTTTTTGTTGTTGTTGCTTTCTCCATGCTTAAAACAGTATGCTTAAAACAGAATTGCATGAATGAGTCTAATATTAGTTTCTATATTCTTTATGTGACTTAAAAAGGAATTGATTGATTGCCAGTACACAAAAAATGGATACAGGTAATTGATCTCTTATCAATTTCTTGAGCAGGATTATCTGCTGAGGGAAGTGAGGAGTGATGGGGGAAAGTTAAAGAGTTTAAGACTTGTAGAACACAGAATTTATGTTGAAATGAATGTGAGATGGAACTTACCAAGGACAAGTGAAAGATTTGCCAGCTAATTGTAAGAAGTAATTTGAGGTTGGAGACAATGTTTTTATAACACTATTCTGTGTAGAATTTCCAATTCTTTCCTTCTCTGGAATTTATAGGTGATTTATAGGGATTGAAGGGTTGAGGGATTTATTGAATAGGCTGGGTAGAAGGATATCAATGGAAAGGAATCAGTGAGGGAGGAGTTGATGAGCTGTTAATTTCAGCCTACATAAAGAAAGAAAAACCATTTTAGTTGTTGTTCTGAAAGGAAATAGAAAGCCAAGAGATTTACTTATGAAGTTGCCTTGATGACTGGGAATCAATTACAGAGAGCTAGACATGTTACCAGGTAATTTTGTTCAGATTGAGTTAATAGATTTAAGTGAAGTTCAAGTTCAGGGGAGATTAAATCCATGAAATAAGCAAGGATCTGGGTAGTAGAAGCTGAATAAAAGTCACTTGAGTGAATGAGCTATCGCTTTACTGGAAAAAGGTAGCCATTGGAAGCACAGCAGAGGTGGAGGTATGTTTTGAATGGCCAAAACAAGGAGAAAACAATAGTCATTTTACTGGGGGTATTTGAGGCAGAGTGTCAGAGCACAACAGATATGTGATGCAGCGTAAAGCACAGAGGCACACCATAGGCTTCTAAGAAAGGGACTAAGCACATAACATCTACAGTCTCTTGATATCCAAACCAAGAAGAATTTTGCTTGGTGGGGAAAGGATATACAGGCAGCTCCAGGAAGTCCTATTCACATCACAGACACCTTAGGAATTTAGTGGTGGAGAGTCCAAAGATCCTTTCAGGTACCAGTTTTGCGAAGACACTGGGTTAGCACACTACTGCATGACTCTGGAAAAAGAACCCAGACCATGCTTCACCTTCAATGTATGCAGGTTCTTTCTTGCATGGTGTCATTTGAGTTGCTGTTGAGTTGAGGTCCTGTGAAGCAGCAAGGCAGTCTATCCTGAGCCTCACAGTCCTCAGATGCCCGAGGAAACAGATAAATGGCCCTTGGGAGCATCCTAGTATCCTTACAAGAGTTTACCACTTTCTGGGGGGTGGTCCTTCTTTACCTTACAGTAATTTCAAGAAGCAGTAAATCAGCCAGTTCTTAAAAGCTTGACTCACTGGGGCCCTGAGAAGCAGGTGCTTGATCCGACTCACCCACCTTTGGTCGTGGGAAGCAGCTGAGCAGATCTCCCTGAGGTCAGTCTCTGGAGGACCCATACAATCTCGCATATAACCCGTGGGTTCTGACAGCCTCTCTTACTGGTACCTTCTGTTTCCCTCAGACTCTTAACATGTGTACCAATTCACTACTAGGCCCTCTACCATGCCTATTTGAAATCAGTCAATCAGTTTTGGACAGATGCTGGGTTCCCACAGAACTCTCTCACAGGACCTGCAGAAACAGATTGTTCTCCCACACTTGCATCCAGAACCTGGTATACCTAAAGAAACTGCATCCTTGCTGATGATTTAGTTCTACAGCTCCTATAGACTATGCCACTAAGATACATGCGGACATGGCCAGTGTTTTGACTAGCATTGTAGAATCTACATGGGATATTATACAGTGCCTACATGGAACCAAAATCAGCGAAACAGCCTATCCAATCACTACCCTTGGGAGACTGCCAACAGAAAGTTACCTTACAAAATTGCTAGGAACACCAGTTTAACCAATTGCACAATACCACATAAGAAATAGAAAAGCTGGTTAATGTAATGCTTGCAAAGGAAAATAACAGCTCTAACTCCAGACCCCAAAGAAAGAAAATTAAGAAAGTAAAATAATCAGTTTATTATGCTTAGTGAGATTTCAAGAAAATGCATGCAGATATTTCAGCAAAATAAAAAAGGTGTTTGGTTCATGTTATGAATGTGAAATTCAGTAAAAAGATATCGTAATAAAAACAATGAGTAATCTTGGAGCTAAAGAATTCAATAAATGGAATTATAAATTCAGTTGAAAGCCTGAGCAGAATTGAATAATTAAAAGAAGGTAATTTCTGAGGTTGAAGATAGATCTTTTGAAATAGCTCAGTTTGATTTTTAAAAAGAAAAAACAATAAAGGAAACAAGTAAAACTTAAAAAAAATTTAAAAGAGCGATTGGGATTGAGGGATTGGGATGCCATTGGATTAAAATGTTTGCAATACGGGTATTCCAGAAGGACAAGAAGAGGGGAAAGGGATAGAAGAAACCTACTCAATGAAATAATTGCTGAGATTTTTGCAGATTTTACATAAGATACTGACATTCAGGTCCAGGAAACTCAAAACCCTAATGAATTTGGCCAGGAAAGATCATCTTCAAAGCTTAGTCAAACTGCTAAAAGTACCCGAACAAGAATTCTAAAGGCAGCAACAGAAAAAGATTAAGGTGTCAGGATCCGTTGGACTAGATGTGGACCTCTTGGCAGAAACCTTATAGGCCCAGAGAGAATGGGATGATAGATGTTCATATACTATTGGCAGGGTTTAGCTGTTAATGGAAAAGAGTATGAGGGGTCAAAAGGCAGAAATAGAAGCACCAAATGACCCAACAATGACATTATTGAAGTGTTTATCTAAAGGAAATTAAATGTGGAGGAGACATTTGATTTTGCATGTTTATTTTTAGTACTATTCATTATATCCCAGATAGGGAATCAATAGGAGAACGAAAGAAAGATACTTGGATCTGCTGGTTCACTTTCCACATGCTTACAACAATCAAGAATGGGACCAGCCAAAGTCAGTAGCCTGAAATTCAATTCAGGCCACCCACATGGGTGGCAAGAACTTAATTATTTGTGTCCTCACTATTGCCTCCCAAGGTCTTCAATTGTAGGAAACTGGATTCAAGAGCCGGCAGTCATAACCTAGGCATTCTGATATGGGATGCAGACATCTAAGCCAGCATCCCAACTGCCGGGTAAAAATTGTCACCATGAGTGTTTTCTGTTTAATGTAGGATCTGAGATTTTGGGAGATCCTATAAATCAGACCTTGAAATTTTCAAAACATGAGTAGAAGTAACTGGAAGTTGCCAGAGGAAAATGATGGAGGATGTTAGAGTATGTAACCCAAGCTTCAGTAAAGGAGCTCTCAGCTGTGTGCTTGTTTGTTTGAGGAGGATGGAAAGTAGTGATGTGGAAATGATTGTGAGAAATACTTAAATTTCACATTCCATCCATTCATTTCCAGGGTCTGTGATCCATGGGAGAAAGCGACAAAGGCAGTAGTATCTTAATATTTTAAAAGTGGATTTTTTTAAAATGAGAGTTTTGAGAAAAGCTGTTCATTAAGTGGTATCATGATTTCAAAATGCACAGAGGAAAGGTGCAATAAATAGTGGGTAGAATTAAGGTGAGAAAATGCAAGGCAGTGATAGAATGATGGGAGAGGATGCTGGTAGTATTTACTGTTTGTCTAATCACATATTTCAGAAACGATCAGAGTTGAAATGATTGTCTCAATGTCTGAATTTTATCAGAAGTGTTTTTGTTAATCTGAATAAGTCAGGATTCTCTGGAGAGACAGAACCAGTAGTTTAGATAGCTATGGATATATGGATGGAGGGGGGATTTATTTTTATTGGCTTATTTGGTTGTGGAAGTAAGGAAGTCTTGTTAGGTCATCTGTCTGCTGGAAAACCCAGGAAGCCTATGACTGAGTCCAGGCTAGCGGCTTGAGGGACCAGGGAAGTGAGTGGTAGCTCGGTCTAGGTTCAGATACTTTAGAACCTGGCTGCCTGCTTTTCCAAGTGTTGAGTCTGAAGGCCAGACAACCTGGAGTTTTAATACTCATGGGTAGGAGAAGAATATCGAGACAGGAGAAAGCACAAGAACAAATAAATACGCCTTTCTAGGTCTTTCTATCCAAGTTTCAGCCGATTGGGTGGATTCACATATCTTCCTTACTTAGTCCAGTTTCTTCGATTAACACAGTCACGTACAAACATAGAAATAATGTTTTACCAGCTGTTTGGGTATCTCATAATTCAGACAAGTTGATACCTAATTTCACCATCACAGACACTGATTTATCTGTCTGAAAATGTGTTCTTGTGACTGTCCTCTTGTGAATTACAGCATGGCATGGCAAAGGCTTTTCATGTTTTAATCCACCCACCTTCCCTAAATTAACACTTTTAGAAATTGTCCTAAAATCTATAGATACTCTTTTCTCTTGTCTTATTTTTCATTCTTTTTTCTTTTAGCTTTTTCAGTTTGGCAAACTTTTATTTGCCCATCTTAAAACGCACTGATAATTTCCTTGTTTATGTCCAGATTGCTAATCAGTCCATCAAAGGCATCCTTACTCTAGTACTTTTTTTTTTTTTTTTTTTGGTTTATGTCACTTCTTTTTGATTCTTTGTCTTACAGTTTCCATATGTCTGCTTGCATTACCCATCTGTTCTGTCCTGTTATACCATGTCCTGTTTTAGAGCCATAGGTATCGTAATCATAGTTAATTGATCATTTCAGAATCTCTGCCATATCTTGAGTCTGCCTCTGTTGCTTGATGTTTTCATGTAACTGAAAGAATGGTCTTTGTCATTGGTGCCAGTTCGGAGGAGTGGAAGAAAATGACAGTTTAAATCTACCAGTGGAAGGATCATAGCTGACTTCATGGTCTCAGGAGCAGTCCTGCTCAGTGAGAACAGCTTGGAGTTTTTAAGGAATGCACAGAGGTGGCTGGGCTGCTGAGTCACCTGCCATGATAGCAGGCTGTCTTGGATATCAGTGCAGCTTCTTTGAGAAAGTTGTTGGCTTGAGTTACCATGAGGAAGGAATTGCAGGATGCTCTGTAAAGCTAAGCAGCTACAAAAGCATTCTTTGACTGAAATCTAAGAGTAAGATATTGTATTTAAAGCCCATCCTGCCTAGAGTCTGTGGTCACTGTGCCATGAGTTTTTTGCTCCCCTTTACATTGTTATAATGACTTTAAACCTCTGGTCATGCTGTCTGGAGAGGGCCATACTTGGCTGATTCAACAGGCTTTCTCGAGGCCAATTTCTGGAATTCACAGACGAGCGTTGTTTGTCTGAAGAGGCAGTTTCGTTAGTCGTGGCCTCAGTAGTCCTCAGAATACGAAAAAGAAAAATCTGTTTGGTCTAATTATATTCATACTACTTACAACTTTTAAGATGCCTTGTAATTTTTTATCCAATCCTGGAGCAGAAAGTAAATAAACCTTTAGCATGTGATTTTCACTGCCTCAGAATTAAACTTTTTACTATTTACAATTGCTATAAAATTTTGTGTGGTCTCTTGTTTTTGTTTTTGTTTTTGTTTTTTTGCTTTCCCCAAGACTATATTTTTGTGCTTTTCTAATTTCTGTTTATTTCCATTTTAGATTTTATTTATCCTTACTTTCATTTATTTTGGATATTGTTTGTGTCTTATTTTCTTCTTCTGTTGGGTATTTAGACATTTGATTTGAAATCTTTCTTTTTAATGTAGGCCTTCTTTATAAATTTATCTAATTTCAGACTTCTTCAGCATGTCTGTTTTAGTTTGCCGTATTTTTGTTTTAATTCATCTGAAAGCATTTTCTAGTTTCAATCTTGATTTTTTCTTTGTTGACTCTGGTTATTTAGGGATGTGTTATGTAATTTCCACATACTGTATTTTCTTCTGGTATTAGTTTTTTATCTGATTTAGTTTTTGGTAGAAAATATACGGTATGATTTCAGTTCTTTTAAATTTATTGAGACTATTTGTATGCAGTTTATACTGTAGAATGTCGTTTGTGCTTGAGCAGGCTGTGTTCTGCTGTTGTTAAGTGGTGTGTTCTATAGATGTCTCTTTGTTCTATTGGGTTTCTGGGGTCAAGTCTTCTGTATCCTTGTTGATCTTCTGCCTAGTTGCTTTCTCCACTTTCTAAAGTAGAGTATTGAAATCTTTATGATTATCTTTTCCCTTTCTCTTTGATTTGTTTTATGTTTTGTAAAACAGTGCCGTGAGGGCCATGTTATTTGTAATTTTTGTATATTTCAGATAAATTGGCCTTTTTATTATAATTATTCTTTCTAGTAGCATTTTTTCTCGTTTTTCTAGAGTGCTTTTGTCTAAATACACTCCAGCTCTTATAATTCCCATTTAGATGGTATATCTTATTTCATCCTGTCACTTAGCACCTACTAGAATATTTTTAATTCAGAACTACATCTCCTGTAAGCAGCATATAGTCTATCTTACGTTTAAAATTTTTAATTTAGCCTGACAGCCTTCCTTTTCTGATGTGATTGTTTAGCCTGTTCACACTTAACACTGTGAGCTGTATGATTGGATTTAGAGTTTCCTGATTGCCTTTGTTTTCCACATGTCTCCTATTTTTGTTTTTCACTTTTACTTTACTGCTTTTTATTGCACTGTGTGAATATATTTTAGTGTGCCACCTTAATTTCTTTGGGGTTTTCCTTGCTAGTTAATTTACAATGAAGGTTAATATGAGAGATTAATCTAGAATTTATAATATATATACTAACTTTTAGAATGTGCTTCCAATTTATACTTGTTCAATGCTGGTGAGATCCAGAAACTTCACTTCTCTGTTACTCTATGTCTCCTCTTTCTTGATGCTATTAATGTTTAGATATTATGTCTATGTATGTTATAAGGCCCCAAGTACATTGTTATATTGTTAAAATTATTGGTATAATATTTTACATTTTAATGAAGGCAAAGGATGTAGAACATGTATTTATTTAGAGTTTGTTTTCTTAATTTTATTCTTGTAGATTTGTTACTATTTTTTATCATTTCTGAATTCTATTTCAGCTTTGTTCCCTATTCATCTCCTTTTGTTTATTGTGTAGCATATTAAATTTCTATAATATTGCATACTTATTATTTTATGTATTTCAAAGTTGCCTTTAAAATCAGTTAACAGAATGCAACAGAAAAAAATACACACCTTTGATGTGGTTATTGGCATTGTGTTAAGATTACAAGTATCTTTTTTTAAGATTTATTTCTTTTTATTGAAAAGGCAGGGCCCGGTGGCGTGGCCTAGCAGTGGTTAAAGTCCTCACCTTGAACGCACTGGGATCCCATATGGGCGCTGGTTCTAATCCCAGCAGCTCCACTTCCCATCCAGCTCCCTGCTTTTGGCCTGGGAAAGCAATCGAGGACGGCGCAGTACCTTGGGACGCTGCACCCGTGTGGGATACCTGGAAGAAGTTCCTGGATCCTGACTTCGGTTCAGCATAGCATTGGCCATTGCACTCACTTGGGGAGTGAATCATTGGAGGGAAGATCTTCCTCTCTGTCTCTCCTCCTCTCTGTATATCTGACTTTCCAATAAATAAATAAATCTTAAAAAAAAAAAAAAAGAAAAGTCAGATATATATGGAGAGGAGGAGAGGCAGAAATATTTTCTGTCCGATGATTCACTCCCCAAGTGACTATAGTGGCTGGTGCTGCGCTGATCCAAAGCCAGGAGCCAGGAGCTCTTCCGGGTCTCCCATGTGGGTGCAGGGTCCCAAGGCTTTGGGCCATCCTAGACTGCTTTCCCAGGCCACAGGCAGGGAGCTGGATAGGAAGTAGGGTTGCCAGATTTAAAACCAGCACCCATATGGGATCCCAGCACATTCAAGGAGAGGACTTTAGCCGCTAGGCTACTGTGCCAGGCCTGAATTGCTGTGTTTTAATTGCAGATATAGAAAACTTCTGTTCATTCAGGAAGCTATTCTGGATTGTGCTGCTTAGACTTTCATATTCTTCCTAACCCTTCTTAACAATATTTCTATAGTTAGGTCTTAACAAAACTGTCAGTAGTTCCCATGCCATATAGATTTAAGTTCAAAACTATCAGTGTAATCCTGGGGATCTCTTGCAGTTTCATGTACTCAAAATAGCTATATATTATACAGTTTACATTTATTGAGAAAGTCAGTTAAACTTATTCATGTGTAACATTCATCTGGGTCATGTAGTATTGCTCCTGTGGGATTAGGGGACAAGGAGAACCTTTGGAAATAAGCTGGTGATCCTTTGCCATGTAATGAATTTTAAAAGCTTTTGTGGTTGCCAGTATACATGATATAATGATATAATGATTATAATGATTATCCTGTACGTAGGATGAAATAAAATCTTAGGTTGAAGTGAATTTTCCCATGCCACTGATAATTCTTTGCAAACCCAAGGTTTAAAATGATGGGCAGGATTTGGCCTAATGCTTAATATACTAGTTAGGAGTCTTAGTGCTGTGGCTTGAATTCTGGCTCTGCTCCTCATTCTGCCTACTTATTAATGTATAGCCCAGGAGGTAAGGGTGACATATTAAATAGTTGGGTCCTTGCCATCTACATGGGAGACCTGGATTAAATTTCTGGCTTTTGCTTCAGTACAGCCTAGTAATGGCCCTTGGTGGGTATTTGAGGAGTGAACTAGTAGATGGAGGCTTACGATGCAGCTCTATCTGTCTGATTATCTATTTGCCTCTCAAATAAATAAATAAATAAATAAAAAACCAAAATTGGGATTCATATATCCTATAAACAGGCAGGCTGTTATTTTGCCTTTATTTTGCTTTGAAAAGAAAATACATTAACACATCTCTTTTACTTTAGGAGACACTTCTAAAGGAGGTTTAGCTGAAATCACTCCATCCAACTTGAAATCTGTCCTTACTGCCACTCCTGGAGAGTCAGACACTGGATCTCATTTATCATCATCTGCCAACGACTTGCCTCAGTTGGTTGTACATTCTCGAGAGAATACTATTGGTCAACATGCTGATCTTCTTAACCAGAAGGAACTGACAGCTAGTCATCTAACTGAAGAACCTCTGAAAGGTTCAGGTGTTCCTGGCCCAGCTGACCAGAAGACTGGAACACCAACCGTACCTGCTCCATTCTATTCACAGAGGGAGAAGCCTGGGACGTTATATCAGCAGACTTTACCAGATCGCCCTGTAACTGAGGAGTCTCAGAAGGTCTCAGCTGTTCCTACACCAGCTGACCAGACAACTGGGAAAGGAGTAATACAACCTAGTTCTTACTCATACAGGGAGAAGCCCAATACTTTCTATCAACAGACTGTTCCAGACAGTCATCTACCTGAAGAGGGTCTGAAAGTTTCTGCTGCCTCCAGACCTGCTGACCAGAAGACTAGTATACCAACTGGAACCTTTCCTTCCTACAGACAGAGAGAGGAACCTGTTGTTTTCTACCAACAGGAATTGCCTGACAGTAATTTAACTGAGGAGGCTCTGAAAGTTTCAGCTGCTGATAGACCAGTTGACCAGAAGACTGGTACACCAACTGTAACCTCTACTTCCTACTCACATGGAGAGAAGCCTCATATTTTACACCAACAGGCCTTGCCAGAAAGCCGTATACCTGATCAGCCTTTAAAATTCTCAGCTGCTCCTGGACGTGCTGACCAAAAGACTGGAACAACGACAGTACCATCTGCTTCCTTCTCACAGAGAGAAAAGCCTGGTATTTTCTACCAGCAAGAGTTACCGGACAGTCATCGAATCGAAGAAGCCCGCAAATTTTCAGCTGCTCTTGGACCTCCTGTCCAGAATACTGGGACAACAGCAGTACTATCTACGCACTTAAAGAGAGAAAGGCCTAGTGTTTTCTACCAGCAAGAGTTTCCAGACAGTCATCAAATCAAAGAAGCCCGCAAATTTTCAGCTACACTTGGACCTGCTGACCACAAGACTGGGATAATAATAGTACCATCTACTTACTCAAAGAGAGAAAAGCCTAGTATTTTCTATCAACAAGAGTTGCCAGACAGTCAGCAAATTGAAGAAGCCCGGAAGTTCTCAGCTGCTTACGAACTAGTTGACCTGCAGACAGGGATACCAACTGTAAGCTCTGCTTCCCACTCACCTAAGGAGAAGCCCAGTGCTATCTACCAGCAGACATTCCCAGACAGTCCTAAGACCGAAGAGCCTCTGAAAGTTTCCATTGTTCCCAGGCCAAGTGATCAGAAGACTGGATTGCCAGCTGAATTGTCTAGTTCCTACTTTTTAAGAAAGCAGCCCATTGTTTTCTCTCAACAGAGCCTACGTGATAGTCATCTACCTGAAGAAGGTCTGAAAGTTTCTGTTTTTAGAGCAGCGGAGCAGAAGGCTGAAACAGTAGCAGCATCCTCCGGTGCCTACTCTGCCTACTCGCAGAGAGACAAACCTGGTGTTTTCTACCATCAGGAGCTGTCAGACAGTCATCTGGCTAAAGAGGCTCGGAACGTTTCAGTTGATACCAGAGCAGCTGATCAAAAGACTGGAACACTAACAGGACCTTCAGGTTCTTACTCCCATAGAGAGAGGCCCAGTATAGTTTACCAGCAGGACTTGCTAGATAGTCATCCAACTAGAAAGCCTCTGAAGGTTTCAATTGTCCCTGAATTTGCTGACCAGAATACTGGGATACCAACAGTACCTTCTAGTTTGTATTCACAGAGACAGCCTGTTATTTTCTACCAGCCAACCCCACCAGGTAGTGGTGCACCTCAGGAGTCTCTGACAGTTTCAACTCTTTCTGGAGCAGCCGACCAGAAGTTTGGGATACCAAGTGTAACTTCTACTTCCTACTCACAAAGAGAAAAGCCCAGTGTTTTCTATCATCAGAAGCTGCCAGACAGTCCTCTAACTGAAGAGTCTTTGAAAGCTTTAGCTGCTCCTAGGCAAGCTGAGCAGAGGATAGGAACAGCCGCAGAGTCCTCTGCTTTCCACTCACAAAGAGAGAAACCTGATATTTTCTACCAACAGTCTTTGCCAGGTAGCCTTATAACTGGAGAGTCTTTGAAAAGTTTATTTGCTCCTGGATTAACTGGCCAGAAGACTAGGACAGCATCAGTACCTTCAAGTTCCTACTCCCTTGGAGAGAAGTCTGTTGTTTTCTATCCACACCCTGATGGTCTCGCACCTGAAGAGGTTCTGAATGCTTCAACTGCTCCTGGCTTAGTTGACCAGAGGACTGGAAAAACAGCCATAATCTCTCCTTCCCACTCACATACTGGAGAGAGTGGTGTTTTTTTCCAGCAGAGCTTATCAGATAGTCATATATTTGAAGAGGCTGTGAAAGTTTCTGCTGCTGCTGCTGGGCCAGCTGACCAGAAGGCACGGACATCCACAGTATCTTCGGCTTCCCAGTCACTTGGAGAGAAGTCCATTATTTTCTATCAGCAGTCCTTACCAGATAGTCGTCTGACTGAAGAGGTTCTGAAAGGTTTAGTTGTTTTGGGCTCAATTGAGCAAAAGACTGACGTACCAACAGTACCTTCAAGTTCCCACTCTCCTGGAGAAAAGGCCATTATTTTCCGCCATCCTCTGCCTAAAGAAAACTTGAACATATTAGCTATTCCCACAGACCAAAAAACTGGGACACCAATAGCATCCCCTGATCACTACTCACTTGGAGAGAAGCCTGTTATTTTCTACCAACAAACACTGTCAGACAGTCAACTCACTGACGAAAGTCTGAAAGTTTCCGATGTCTCTGGACCAGTTGGCCAGAATACTGGGACTCCTAAGGTAGCTTCTTTCTACTCTCAGAGAGAGAAACCTACTATCTCTTACCAACAGGATTTGCCAGTTAGTTATCCAACTGAAAAGTCTCTAAAAGTTTCAGGTGTTCCAGGACCAACTGACCCCACGAGTGGTAAACCTAGTGTTTCTTACCAGCAAGAGTTGCCAGACCTTACTGAATCAGCTTTGAAAGTTTTAGGGGTTTCAGAGTCTACTGACCATAAGATTGGAATAGCATCCTCCACCCCTTATTCAAATGAAGAGAAGTCCATTGTTTCTTACCAGCAGAAATTGCCAGATCTTACTGAAGTAGCTTTGAAATCAATAGAGGTTCCTGGACCTGCTGATCAGAAGATAGAAATAGTGTCCTCTGGTTCATACACGCGAAAAGAGAAATCAAGTATTGTTCATCATCAGGAGTTGCTAGGTGTAACTGAAGAAGCTGCAGATGCTTTTGTTCTTCTGGAAGTAGGTGACCAGAAGACTGGAATATCAACAACACCTCCTGTTCCCCACTCTGAAAGACAGAAGCCTGCTGATTTTTATGGCAGTCAACTATCTGAAGAGGTTTTGAATGCCCCAGCTATTCCCGGATTAGCTGATCAGGAGAGGACATCCATAGTACCATCTAGTTCTCATCCACAGAAAGAGAAATTCAAGATATCAATTGTGAGTGTAGTGGATGATCAAAAAACTGAATTACCAGCACCTACCCATCGTTCCTACTCACAAGGACAGAAACCTAAGGTTTCAATTTTAACAGGACCAGATGACCAGAAGGTTCCGTTACTGACAGTTTTTCGTAGTTCTTATTCTCAAAGAGTGAAACCTAGCATTTTGTTTCAACAGCAATTGCCAGATAAAGAGAAAAGTGAAGATACTCTAAAAATTTCAACTGTTCCAGAACCAACTGATGTAAATACTGAAGTAATAATACCTCTCTCTAGTTCCTGTTTACAGGGAGAGAAACCCAATACCTTCTACCCTCAAGAATTGCCAGACGTACATCAAGTTGAAGATGCACTAAAGGTTTCAACAGTTCTTGGATCAGCTGACCAGAAAGCAGTGTTGCCAACAATTCCTCCTTGTTCCTTTTCACAGAGAGAAAAACTGAGTATTTGTCCAAAGGATTTGCCAGATAGACATCTAACTGAAAATGCTCTGAAGGCCTCAAGTGGTCTTGGTAAAGCTGATCACGTAACTGGGTTACCAGCAGTTTGCCCTGGTACTTACTCATACGGTGAGAAGCATGTTGTTTCAGAACATGTCCAAAGGCTAATCGATAACTTGCCTTCTTCTGACTGCAGTGTTATTTCAAACGGTATGCCTTTAAATTCTCTGGCTGATGATCGGGTTGTAATAAATAAGCCAGAATGTTCAGATTTGGGGGATGTTGGCTCTGAGGAAATCCGGGATACAGGCAGTAGTTCTAAAACTCTCAAAGAGATTCAGACGCTGTTAATGGAGGCCGAAAATATAGCGTTGAAACGATGCAATTTGTCTGCTCCCCTTGTTCCTTTTAGAGATGTTAGTGATGTTTCAGATATCCGGTCTAAGAAGGTAGTTTGCTTCAAAGAACCTTCCATAACTGATGTGTCTGATGGCGAGTTGCTCCCGAGACAGCCATTCAGAGAGGAAAGCCCAAGCAACAGATGCATACTGAAGGATATTGGCACACAGACAAGTTTCAAATGCCAGAGAGGTGTTGAAAATTGGGAATTTATTAGTTCAAATGCAGTTAGAAGTCCACTGCAGGAAGCAGAATGTGAAGCCAGAGTGGCTTTAGATGAAACTCTTAGGCGATATGAAGCAGCCAAATCAGTAATGAGGCGTGAACCTGAAGGGTATAGTGGAACTATGGGGCAAAAAATCATTATTCCTGTGATGACTATTATAAAAAGTGACTCAAGTAGTGATGCAAGTGATGGAAATACTTCGTGCTCATGGGAAAGTAATTTACCTGAGTCTTTGGAATCAGTTTCTGATGTTCTTCTAAACTTCTTTCCATATGCTTCAGCTAAGACAAGCATATCAGATAGCAGAGAGGAAGAGGGTATGTCAGAGAGTGACGATTGTGGTGGTAGTATAGACTCGCTGGCTACCCATGTGAAAAACCTCCTGCAGTGTGAGTCATCACTGAATCATGCCAAACAGATACTCAGGAACGCGGAAGAGGAGGAGTGTCGGGTCCGAGCGCGAGCACGAGGTAAGACATCATGGATTGTCCTAAAGGTAGGTTCCTGCTTAGAAATATTGTCATTTAACTGCTTGTTTGGAGTTCTACATTTGTTTTCCAGTAGGACTGCAAGAATAATTGTATTTCCCACCAGCAGTCCAGTGGAGCCCATTTTAGTCAATAATGTGGCAAGAGTTACAGTGTATATTGTGCTAGCCTGAATTTAGTATTTCAGGTGAAGTAGATTTTTATGTCTGATAAAGAATAGGGAGTTAGCATGGATTTTCGGGCTCCTAAAGCTTTGTTCGTCCTCCGAAAATAAAAAATCCTCCTATTTGATCTGTTCTACATTTTTTTAAGATTTTATTTTTATTGGAAAGGCAGATTTACAGAGATGTAGAAAAATCTTCTGTCTGCTGGCCCACTCCCCAAGTAACTGCAAACCCAGAGCTGTGTTGATCTGAAGCCGGGAGCTTCTTCCATATCTCCTATGTGGGTACAGGATCCCAAGGCTTTGGACCATCCTCTGCTGCTTTCCTAGGCCATAAGTAGAGCGCTGGAAGGGAGGTGGAACAGCTGGGATGTGAACTGCCACCTATATTGGAATGCAAAGGATTAGCCAGTAAGGCAGTGTACTAGCCCTGATGTTAATCTCTTATGCATTTCATATATGCTTTGATTTTACCAGCAGCTCTCTAGTGCATTTATTATTATTTTTAATTATCACATCTCATGAAAGTGGCAGTAACTATAGCAGGAGCTGAAGAGGGAGAGAAATGGATGCTCCTGATTAGAAGGAAGATTGGATAAAATTATTGAAAATTATTTCAAGTCAGGGAGGTGGGAGTTGAGGGGGGAATCCCAGCCTATACAAAATGTACCACATAATTCAAAATTCAAAATAAAAATATTTTTTTAAAAAAAACTAAAATGATTTTCCTGTCATGCAATTGCATGCACACACAAGCATTGTGCTCGGAATTAAATTGGTGGCCATCTGTGCTCTTAAAATAATTGAGAAATTATCAGTGTTGTATTTGATTATCTCAAATGTTCCCATACTTTCTCTTCAGCCTGGAATCTGAAGCTTAACTTAGCACACGAGTGTGGATACTCTATTTCAGAATTAAATGAAGATGACAGGAGGAAAGTTGAAGAGATCAAGGCAGAGTTGTTTGGTCATGGGAGAACAACTGACTTGTCCAAGGTATAAAGAAATCAAGCAATTAAAAGGAAAAATACATAAAAATGACTGATGGACTTTGAATATCTTCTTCAGGTCCTGATGTTATCCTAGCTAAGATCACTGACAATCTTTTGCTAAAATATTAGGAGTCTTAATTCTTCTAAAATTAAGGTTTAAGAATTAGATTGTAGAAATTTTGACTAGTTTCAAAGTCATCTATTGGGAAAATTTATCCTCTTAGAAACTGAAGATTTGATACACACATAAAAGTAAATAACTAAATTTAGCCATGTGTTCTCATAAGAGTAATATCGTGGTAGGCAGTCTATTTACAGGAAATATTCTCTGGTCCAGAATGAACTTTGCTTTTAAAAATATTTTCCTCCTGTGATGAATTGTTTTATGCATAGGAAAGAGTTCATATGAAACATTTATATAAAGGAAAAAGAGAAGCAGAGTAATTTGTGCATAGCAACTTTTCACCTTAAGAAACAGCATTACCAAATGTCATTGAAATTCTTTGTGTCCCCCTCCTCATTCGTATCTTTTTTACTTCTTACCTTGACAGAGACCCCTGCTTAGCTCCAACTTCAGTAAGGTTCACCACCCTTAATCCTTCGTACAGTTTGATAATTGAGTGATAACTGACTTTTAAAAAAACTTTTTATTTATTTTTATTGGAAAGTCAGATTTCCAGAGAGAAGGAGAGACAGAGAGAAAGATTTTGCGTAGACTGGTTTATTCCCCAAATGGCTGTAATGGAGCTGAAATGAAGCCAGGAACCAGGAGCCTCCTCCGGGTCTCCCATGTGGGTGCAGGGTCCCAAGGCTTTGGGTCCCCCTGCATTGCTTTCCCACACCACAAGCAGGCAGCTGGAAGGGAAGTAGAGCAGCCAGGATACGAACCAGCACTCATATGGGATCCCAAGCACATGGAAGTGAAGACTTTGGCCACTAGACTATCGTGCTGAGCACTGCCTGACTTTTTGCTTTGTGCATTGCAAAATGAACTGTTTTCTTCCAAAGATTTATTTTTCTTATAAGTCAGAATTATAGAGGGGGAGAGAGATCTTCCACCTGCTGGAAGATCTCCTCAATGGCTCACTCCTCAAATGGCTACCACCACAGCCAAAGCTGATCTTTTTCCAGGTCTCCTTCATGGGTACAGGAGCCCAAGGACTTGGGCCATCCTTTGCTGCTTTCCTAAACTGTAAAGGTGGAACTGGACCAGAACTGGAACAGTTGGGACATGAGCTGGTGCCCAAGTGAAATACTGGAGTCACAGGCAGAGGATTAATTTGCTATGCTACTGTGCAGACCCCATTTTTCTTTCACAATCCAGAGTGAATGAAGTCTGTTCCTTGAAGTTGTCCAGTAATGCAAGCTGGCTGAGCAACTCAGCTGTCCTCATGTTTGACTTTTAAGGTTGCAGCAGCATCACCATTTACAGCTAGTGAGAGTAATGGTGATGGTGGTAGTAGTGGGGAGATCAATAACTGGATTTTAAGGTCAAGAATCATAGTTGCATGTAACTCTTGCTTATACCACAAAGTAAATTTAGTAATATCATGACTAGCCACAAAACAAACAGGAATTGGCTCCAGTTAGATTGATATGTGGCTGGTAGAAGTTTGGGTAAAGAAAAAGGTAAGAATATACTTGTTCTGGTTACTAAAGTAAAAATTTTTAGAACTCTACTACCTGTTCATATTGTTTTTGTGGGGCTCAGAGGCAAAGAGATCACTAAGTCAATAAGATGGCTACTAACAGTTCAAGGTCACTGGCAAGCAAGATGGCGGCCAAGAACTGAGCTCTGGGTATGACCCAGAACAGGTGTCACGTTGTTTCAAAGAAAGACTGATTGACCGGAGTCATTTCACTCACCTACCCCTGGCCTATGGGAGGTGGCTTCCACAGTCATGCTCCTAGTAACTGGCTCCTAGTTTTCCCCTCTTGGAATTCCTGAAATTCCTGGCTTGAGGCTATCCCTTACCCTATATAAGAAATTGAATTTCCCCAATAAATCGGAACTACTTAGACAGAACCCCATCCATCTGTTTGACTCTCATGGTCCAGGAGACTGGGTGGGGTGCAGCAGGCTCATCCCCTCTGGCAACGGGGTACTAGAGGAATCTGTGGGGGAGACCCTGCAGTTTTGAGCCATTTTACTGTATAGTTAATGGGTCTTTGCCGGGCTCTTCGAGCTGTTTTTATTATGAGAAAATGACATAAGCTCATTTTATAGCATATAACTTTTGGACTACTCCAAGTAAGAGTCCATTTATATTTTCTAGGGTTTCCACAGTCCCAAGGGAATATGTAGCCCTGAAGCTGTGTGTGGCCACATTATTATCGAGAGCCACGAAAAAGGATGTTGCCGGACCCTGGCTGCTGAACAACCACAATTGGACAGCCGTCCTTGTGCGTTCAGATCTGCTGAACCATCAGATTTGATCCGAGGACGGCGGAGCGTGTCATCATGCACGGCCAGGCACATCAACCTTTCTCAGTCACTGGACCAGAGCAGCCCCAATTTCAACGTTTGGAATTCCTTGCGCTTGGAAAGTCCTCCTCCATTTCACATACCTGAAGACTTCAAGATTAGCAAGAGTCTTCGAATGCCATTCCATGAACCTGTTTGTATGCCTCCTAAAGAAATGAATTTTCATTCTCCATCTCACATGCTGCCCTCAGAACCCTTGAAACAATTTACCACCTCCATCACGTTTTCATCTCACCGACATTCTAAATGCATTTCTGATTCTTCTGTTTTTAAGGTTGGTGTTACTGAAAATAGCCCGTGTCTTGAAGCCCCTATGGGGGCCTTTAATTCTCAAGAACAAAATCCTCCCAGAGATCTAAAACAGAAAGCTTCTGCCCCTTCATCATTTAAAAAATCTAGTCATTCACCAAATAAAACTGTGACTATTTTAGAAGAAGGTATTAGGCAAAGCCAAAAATCACCTGTTAATTTAAAGGATTCTCACCAAGAAGAAAAACTCATAGAAAGAGCAGATTTTAAAGTCAGCCTTTCTGAGCCCAATACGAGTGCAAGTGGTAGTAATTACAAGCAAATTCAGTTTTCCGATAATCATACCCTCATTAACATGGACAGACCAAGTTCCACAATAGGAATTAAGAAGAATGTAACTATTATTCCAGATCCTCCTTCGCACATTTTTCTTGAACAACGAGAGTTCTTTGAACAAAGCAAAGCCCCACAGGCAAATTACCATGTGAGAAAACACTGTTCTCCCCCTTCTCCAAGTACTCCTTCTGCTATTTTTCTTGAACAACGCCAACTCTTTGAACAGTGCAAAGCCCCATATGTAGATCATCAGTTGAGAGAAAGCCGTTCTCCCTCTCCTCCAGGTCAGGAATGTATAGCCTCAGATCTTCCATCTCCCATTTTTCTTGAACAATGTCAAAGCAGAGACCCATGTGTAGATGACCACATGAGAAAATACCATTTCCTCCTTTCTCAAGGTCAGGATTGTGTGATGGAAAAGGATAATGAATTCACACCTGTTTCATACATTTCTAACATAAATGTTGAAGCCAAGTTCACTAATGTGGTCTCCCAGTTGGTCCCAGATACATTAACAACATCTGCATCTACTCCACCTTCAAATGCAAAGGCACTTTCTTGTGTGCGTATAACTCTTTGTCCCAAGACTCCTGCCACGTTGGATAGTGGAGCCTTATTGGATCCTGCCTGTAAAACAAAGATAACTAGTGAGTTTAACGCAGACCTACAAACTCTATCTTCAAGATCCTTGGAACCAACCTCCAAATTATTGGCCGGTAAAGCTGTAGCACAGGACCAAGAATGTTTAGATTTTCTAGGACCTGTATCTCCACTGGACTTCCAAGTCATACAATGTCCTCTTCCAGATAGTGTTACAATTACTCAGAACTTGGAAACCATACCATCTCAGGATAGCCAGGTAGTAACCTCAAGGCAAATACAAGTGAACATTTCAGATTTGGAAGGATATTCCATTCCAGTGGAGACTCCGGTATCTGCAGATCGGTGAGTCTTTGTGGTTGCAAGCAGAGTGATGGAATTTGTGATATTTAAAATACTTAAGGAAATGTATGTTCTTGGGGAGAAAAGCAGCGTGATTTCTTTCAGGGGAGGTTATATCTGACTAAAACCGCCAGAAATATTTTAAGAAATAAATATGTAAATTAGAGCATGTGAAAATATGTTTAAATTTACAAAGGCTTTGGGCCAAGACTTTTACATCAAGTGTTTTTTTTTTAAAAATGGAGTCACTTTGAGAAGAATCTTTGCTTATCCAATGGTACGATGAACTAATTCCTTATGTTGGGGATATGCTGCTATTTCCTTAGGAAAGTTGTACAAGTGTGTGGTTCTCTCTCCCTCTGTCTTCACTTTTCTTCCTGCTTCTCTCTGATTCCATTTCATGATTTCCTTAAAATATTTAACATTTGTAAGGGAAAAAAAACCTTTTCAGTTCATATTCTGGCTGATGATACCGGTTCAGCAAGTGTAGCTCTATATCCGGAGTTTCTACACGGTTCCTTTGTTCTTTTTTGTGTTTATGTCAGTGCTGCAACATCTTGGTGATTGCGGCTTCATGGTAAATCAAAAAATGAAGTTACTTTCTCCAATTTTGCTTTTTGAAAATTACTTTTATTCTTTTTTTTTTTAAAGATTTATTTTTATTATTTTTTCATTGGAAAGGCGGATATACAGAGAGGAGAGACAGAGAGGAAGATCTTCCGTCTGATGATTCACTCCCCAAGTGAGCGCAACGGTCGATGCTATGCCAATCCGAAGCCAGGAGCCTCTTCCGGGTCTCCCACGCGGGTGCAGGTTCCCAAAGCTTTGGGCCATCCTCGACTGCTTTCCCAGGCCACAGGCAGGGAGCTGGAAGGGAAGCGGGGCTGCCGGGATTAGAACCGGTGCCCATATGGGATCCCGGGCGTGCAAGGCGAGGACCTTTAACCACTTGCGCCACTGCGCCGGGCCCACTTTTATTCTTTTTAAGTCTTTTTCTTTCCATATAAATTTTAGAATCAGCTTCTTCTGTCTTCCCAAAAAACCTGCTGGGATTATATTTGGAATTGAATCTACAGATAATTCTGGAAATGACTGACATAGTAATAATACTGTCCTCCCATGTGTGAAGATAGTGCGTTTTTTCCCACTTATTTTGGTCTTCAGTATTTCTCAGTGACATGTTACTACAGTGTTCAGTGTGTAGGTTTTTCACATCTTTTGCTAAATTCCTAAGTAGTTTGTTTTTTATACTCTTCCATATGGCATTTTCAGTTTAGTATTTTCTAATTCTTTGTTGCTTATACATAAAAATACTGTTGTCAAGCCAGTTTTCAAGTGTCAACAAATTAATTCTGTTACTCTGTGAGTCAGACCTTTCATGCCCACTCTGAGATATTTTAAGTAGTGGGTGCCACAGGGAATTTAAGTAATGCAACAGTTCCAGCACTTGAGCCATATGTAATTATTCCTTATGTTGATAACCTCCCTAATATTTTATGCAAACCTTCTTTAGATTTAATGGAATATTCAGTATAAAGGTGATCATCATTATAATACTCAGTTTCTCTTCAGTAAAACATGATTATAGGTGATCATGTTGCCAGCTAATGGCAGTTTTGCTCTTCCTTTTTTCCCCCCTAATGCACTGGCAAGGACATTTAATGTCAAGTAGAAGTGTTAAAAACTTGTTCCTCATCTTTGAAAGCAGGATAGATGGTGAGTTAAGTTTAAGGTTGTCTGCTTGTACATTTTTTTATAGGTCCTTTATCGGGTTGAGGATATCTTCTTTCATTTTTAGTGTGCTATAATTTTGTCATGAATGGGTGTTGAATTTTGCCCATTGCTTTTACTGTTCTGTTGAGATGATCAATTGTACTTTCTTTTCTACTGAAGTAATCGTTCACACTAGATTATGAGTTTTAAAGTGTTTTTGTGGCACTGGGTTAAATTTCACTTGATCATGATAGATGGTCCTTTAAACATATGTTGAATTCACTTTGCTGACATTGTCTTTCAATGTTATTGAATGTTTCAATAATATTGAAGACCAAAAAACTGAAGAGAATCTTCTGATTATGAGTTATGGTGGCTTCAGAATTTTTGATAATATTCACTATTCCTATCTGTGTGTGTGTGTGTCTGTGTGTGTGTGTGTGTCTGTGTCTATATACTCTGAAAAAGAGTGATAGACCCCTGACCTCATAAGTCAAGGCTGGTAACACTCTTCACACTGAAAGATTTGTGACACAGGGACTTACAGGGAAATTCAGGTGGGACAGAGGTGGGGTGAATGGGTGAGTGAAGGAGTAGGGCTGACCTGAACAGATCCAGGTACTCTTGGGCAAAATAAATGTGCTAGGTTGGGCCTAGAGTGGCTAGGTTATAGGGTTAAGCAACAAGGTTCCATGCATGGAGAATTATCAGTTTCCTGCCCATGCCAAAGGAGGAAGCACTCATATCCAAGCTTTGTTATCAGTTAGTTGATGGCCAAAGGAAAAGGGAGGATGAGGTTTACAAAGAAGTCAGGGGTCAAACATGCAAAATGGAGTTAGTCGTTGTTACAGTCATTGTTGTAGAGATTACTATATACACCCTTAATTTATTTATCCTTTATTGATAGATCCAGTTTCTCTAATATTTTGTTTAGGATTTTTTTTCTCTGCTCCTGGGAGATAATCATCTGTAATATTCTTTTCTTGCTTGGCTTTAAGATGAATATAGAGCTGACCTTATAAACAAGTTGGGTCACTCTGAAAGAGTTGTATAAGAGTGGTGTTATTTCATACTTAGATATTTGGCTGAATTCACCAATGGCACCATCTTGGATTACAGATTAAATTTCTTTCTCTCTTTTTAAGATTTATATAAGTTAGCATTACACAGAGAAATCTATCTTCCATCTGCTGGTTCGTTCCCCCAGATAGCTGTAATGACTAGAGCTGGATTAGGCAGAAGTCGAGATCCTGGAGCTTCTTACTGGTCTCCCACATGGGTGGCAATAGCCCAAACACTTGAGGCCATCTTTTATTGCTTTTCTCAGGCCATTAGTAGGGAATGAATCACAAGTGGAGTAGCTGGCACTTGAACCAGTGATCGTATAGATGCCAAAAGTATCCTAATAAAATTTTATGTGGTCACTATCACATTCTAGATACAGAAGTGTGCCTCCGTGAATAATGTCTCTTATTCTATCCCTTTTTAAGCCATACTGACCCCCTATGTCACCCCAGTAGACCCTGGAAGTCAGTGATCTGTTTTCCTCCTGCATGATTTTGAAAATGGCATCTAACCTTTCAAATGGACTTTTTTTCCTGGCATTATGACCTTGAGATCCTTTTAACTTGTATGTGTCAGTAGATATTTTTCCTTTTTGGTGGGGCAAAGTATTATTTTGCCCTATGGTAATTTTATATTGATATGTATATGTATATGTATATAACCACAAGCTTGCATTGATATATATGATTCTAATTCAGATTCACTCAACTTTTTTCTTTCTGTTTTGTAGATTTGTAAATTGTGTTGTAAATCCCTTTATCCAATAATGAGAAACCTTATCTCTTAATATGCTTCAGATTGCATGTACTTACGTGATCAATTTCCCACTGGGTAATTCATCTCTTTATCTGTGGCCAGTCTTTCCCCAGCCAGGATGATCCTAACTCACTACCTCCATTGAGGGCATTTCCTTGTATAGTACCCCCCTCGCCCTGCTTGAGCTTTGATGAGACTCCATGCTAGATTACTCAGCACATGGATGCTGTCCCCCCCCCCCCCCGGGCCACTTTCTCCATTGCAGTCGGGTTCTGAATCCCCACGCTGGACTGCTGGACTACCTGTCCCATGAATGTCTTCCTTATCCTGCTTAGAAGTGCTTAACACCTCGCACTGGGCCTCTACTCTGCTTAGGTGCTCTTAACCTATTGAGGATTTGACTGAAGTTGTCAGCTACCCTTTAGGGATGGGTAACATCCTAGGTCAGAATGCTTCCTTTACCCTGAATGAAAGATGCTTTTCTCACCCTGTGCGGGCGATGACTCAACACACTGGTATGTTTTCCTCTTCTTGACACCCTCCTCATTCCTCTGAGGCTCTGACTTCTCAAGTCTGGATGCCTCTTTCTGCATTTTTTTTGACTTTGCTCCAGTACTACCACTCATCAAGTAACCACACTGTGCAGATACTGGCCTCGCTCTGGTTGGGTTTTTGCCTTCACATGGCAAACTGAGTCGTCCTCCTAGTGTAAACCCTCCTCATCCTCAGATAACTTGGCTTCTCTTTTGTACTTAGGCCATTCCTGCACAGAGGTTTTCTCCTTGCCCTACTTGCATTCTAATATTCTGTGCAGGGCTATTCTTTACCTGGGCACCCTTCTGATCCTAGGAGTTTCTGATCCCTTGCTCTAGGCCACTTTCACTCCATCCTCTATAGATGGTTACCGTGATCTCCCTGCGTAAGGGTTTAAGACTGAGTTGTTCAGGAAGGAAAACACAAAAAGAGAAGAAAAAAGAGGAGAAAGAAGAAGCTTATATTTAATTAGAATATGCTTGGTATATCTTTTTCGATCTTTTTACTTTTTAAAATATTATTTACATTGTACTTATAAAAGGCAGAGACAGCCCAAAAGAGAGCTCTTCCACCCCCTGGCTTACTTTCCCAAATGCCTGCAATAATCAGGAGCTTGGAACTCAGTATGGGTCTTCCATGTGAATGGAAAGGACCAAGTACTTGAGCCATCATCTGCTTCCTCATGGGGAGCTAGATTGAAAGTGGAATAACCACGACGTGAACCAGGCACTCTGATACCAGATGAGGGTATGTTTAAAACCCTGTGTTGCCACCCCTCCATCCTGTGTACACGTGTGCTTGCACACACACATTCACTCACCCCTCCCATCTGCTTGCTGGTCCGCTCCCAAATGCCCCCCAAGCAGCCAGCGCTTAGAGGCCAAGTCAAAGCCAGGAACCTGGACCTCCATCCAGGACTCCTGCATGAGTGGCAG